CCCGTAAGCTTAGATATGACTGCATTTGCTTACTTTATATTACTATCATGTTGACATTAAATGTAGAGAAGATTGAGAAACATCCTAGTGATTGATAAGATTAACACTGTGCTGCTCGGAACAGATTATCAACGCATCATCAAAGTCGGATATTCTATTAAAAATCATTCATACAAATCGTGCAAATTCCCATCGACAATTTTTCAAAAGCAATTTGACGAATAACAAGAAGGAATCAACAGCATGGTGTGCGATCTTAGTTAGTTTCAAAATGTATTATGTGTTAATGGCTTGATAAGAGATCTTAATACATTGTAAAAAGCTATAGAAAATGAAAGTTTCCAAATAATTTGCAGATTCTATTTTTCAAACTGTAAAAAATAGTTTTATTTTCTGATCAATAAGCTGATAATTATTAAACGGCAAGGCAGCTCATATGTGTGAAGAAAAATCCCGTTGGAAATGCTTGACTAGGCAAAAATATTTGATCAACATTTCAATGTGATAAGCACTTGAATATTAAACAGTGGTGCTTTTTATGTCAAAGAAAAATATGTCTATTACAGCCATTCATGAACGTTAAAAAATGTGTGAATTTGCGTAAATCATTAAAGTTCGTGTGATAAGCTGTTCCATATTTAATTGTTAGAAAATTTGATAATAGTCACATCCAATTTACATTTATTATTTCAAATCTATTGATGCTCACTTAAAAATCCATTTATATCCAAATAATACACAATTAATTAAATCAGCAAACGAATATTTGAGAAAGCCATTCATTCATGCTTGTTCATTTCATTCATAAACTTTTTTTTTGCCGGAATAATTGAATGAATGGGAGAAAAAAATTCACAACGCAACTGAAGCTTCGCGGGGACATCTTAAATTGTGAGTCATCGTACAAAATTACTACGACGAGATGGTCTTTTTTTTTTTGAAATTTAAATGAGACTTTAATAACGTTTGATGGAACTAGCATAATATATTATCCACTAGTAGCTTCTCAACTTTTTTAGCCGGAATTTCTTTTTTTCTTCTTTCTCCATGGACATTTTTCATCATATACTTTGGAATGCGAAACAAAAAAACCGAATCATGGCCCAAGATACTCATCACGGTGCTGTAATAATGCTCGTTGTGATGACGTAAAAATGCCAATATATTGCACGCGCAGAGAAATTGTTAATATGGAAGTTTATAATAAACAAATAGCGGAGAGAAGTTAAAGAAAGAAAAAAAAAACTTTCTAAAGTCGCTTTAACACATACGAACATGTCGCATATAAATGAAGGTGCATCCGTGATGAATCAATTGTCAACTATTTTTTATTCATATACAACAATATTGTGTAGTTTCTTGACACCCTGCTAATAAGTGTTACAATAATAAATGCGGATGATGAGTGGTTATTTTCGCTTTTCTTTCTCAATTATTGACATACGCAAGACAAACTTCATTTGTGTCATGGAATCATCAAATGTTTGCACTTTGACTTAGGGAAAACTTTTGGTTTCTTACAAGGCGGCAAATGAAGTCTTTTTATTTCTATTTTATGAACAATTTTGTACAATATGAAGTGCTTTGTTCCGCAATTTGACTTTCTGTCTGATACATATTTTACGTCTGAGTGTGTAGACAAAAGCGTTTGGTTCACGTGTTTAGTCGCATGATGACTATGGCAAAGGGGATTTTTTGACAAATATATTGTGCTTAGGTTGTGCATTTAAAGGATGATTTGGATTTGTTTTGAGAAGCAACATTTATTGATTATTATGTCCAAATACCGAGGAGAATTTTGGGGTCACAAACGCGAATTGTTGAGGATTTTTTTTGATTTTGGTAACATAACCTTAAAGTACAACATATCCTAGTATACATTTCGGTAGCATACTCGAATGGGTATTTAGATTTTCAATACAAATTGACCTTTGGTATTAGAACCATATCTGGTTTGGAAACTATCCAAAAAAATTTATTCTTGTATCAATAGCAGCATAACCAGTATTGAACAGCTAGATACTAAGTTCTCGGTCAAATCTTTACAACACCACGGAGAATAAAACAAACTCCAGCAATAAAATAATGCGTCAAAGTCATCTCCCATAAACACAGATAGCCAACCGTGTTCTTCATTTCTCTTTCATGTTTCCTGTTTTGCTGTCATTTCCAAATAACAAAAATTTTTTTGTTTTTCTCACTCAAACTTGAACTGAATTTTTAATCAAATTTTTCACTTTTGTCTCTTCTTCTTCTTCTTCTTCCTCCTAAAAAAGCAAAATTATTTTCTATTTGATTATGTTAAAAAAACGAATAAATAGTTCCTGCTCATCGCATAAAGTCACAAAAAATATATAAAATTTACTATAATGAGTTGAAACAATAGACGAGGAAAGTGAAAAAACCCTTTTGTTTGATCATAAAGTATGAAAAGAGAGAAAGAAGAAAGAAATTAACATCTTTTTATACTTCATTTTAACAAACAATCAATTTGAGCCCTATAAAGTGTGCGCCCGAGATTGAGCAAATATATTCATTTAAGCTTTTAACAGTATTACAAAATTTCATTACATTTAAACAAGAGGAAATGTGTGAGCAATTGAAGAAGAAGTAGAAAAATTCTCACGACGCGAAGCATAATAATCAAGCAATAGCGACGGAAAGTAAAAGTTGAAAATTAAACTCTTCTTCTTACAATTTTTTTTTGTGTGTTTGTTGAATCGAGGAATTATGATTAAAAGATGAAGAGATGAAATGAGATTCGGTTTGGAATTAATTTTCGCGGCTATGCTAAATAAGAAGTTGGAAATGAATGGGAAGTTCGTTACTCATATGCGTAGTTTTTGACAATGAAATTTCATTGTCAGTCATGAAAGACAAAACAAAAAGGCTTAAAAAAATTCTGGTAGACGAACTTTCATTTTATTTGTTGTCTGAATAAATTGGCTTTCAATGGATGAGTAGCAAAAAATGCTGTTCGGATGATTTATGAGGATAGTATGGCTTACTATAGTATCTACTTACTGCTGATGAAGATCGTAATTCATGTGAGGGGCTGTTGATAGATGATGTTTAATTATTGAGTTCTTACGGGAACTGTAAAGCTGTTTTATTGTTCTAAGGCTACCAAGGACAGTTATCCTAGTCAAAGTTAAATTTCTGTTAATCCCCAAAAAAGATTAGAATCTCCCAATAAAAGTTACCGTAGTCAAAAATCCCATTTTACGACAAACGTCATTGATGATCGACCACTTGTTGAAACGATGCTTCCAGCGACGGTTTTAAGGACGCCTCTTCATACTTTTTCTATCTTCTATGATCAGCTAATGACTTATGTATTTTAACAACTCTTTCCAACATCTCTGTTCGTGACTGCTATCTTTTACCATTATGCCTTTGGCTCATGTAATTGAATTTGCAAAAAAAATCTAAAATTGATTCTTTTTAGACACAATATGAAGCATTATCATTATGTAGGACATAAACTGAGTTGTTGAAATTGAAAAATGAATCTTTAAGATAGAGCACGTAAGTACGAAAATTTCTCAAAGTGAAAATCGTGCCCACATAAACGCATTTTTAGGTGCGTTTTAAAACAAATATTAAAATCGGAAAAATAATCTTTATTGGAGTGCTTTATCAACCTGATCGATATATGGACGTGCAATATGATATTTAGAAATTTCTCATACTCATCTCGTTAAACTACGAAATTATTACATTCGAAACATACAAATGCTCGTTTATGACTTTATTCATTATGTTACACGGATCAACACTTTCTTTCTTTATTTTTTGATTTGATTACGCAACGTCTGTTTTATTTTATTGAATTTACGTTTCACTTTCAAGTGTGAATAATTTATGATTTTTTTTAATGCGGCTGCTTTCGTTAAAGTGATGCTGTCAAATTTCTGTTTAGGGAACTTTAATCATATTCATCTCTTCCTAATTTGAACTTTTGTGGCAGTTATTATCCAATGAGGTGAATGAGCTATCTGAGTATGTGATATTATGACTCATATTAGTTGCTGGGAATTTTGAATAATTTGAAATGTCTGAGCAGAGCTTGAAGTCGACTTCATTTTTTTTTCGAGTCGACTCGAGTCAATTCGAACCCCCTTTAGACTTCGAGCTCTGTTTCTGAGATCTTTTTGATCCTTAACATTGACATCCAGGATTTTTTGAATTATTAATGAAATCTGATCTTAATGCTTTTGGTTATCAAGATTCCTTACTAATTTCTTTAGCTGGGGCACACGTATGATCATTGCCGCGCTTAGAGATCGTGTAAAGACAGCTCGATCTTTTGAAACTTTCTGCCAGTTCAGGATGTTAAGGATTCTAAGCACCTTTCTAACACATCCAATCCAGGAATTGACTATAAAGATTAAGTTTAACTAAATTGAATTCAAAATAAAAGAAAATTGAATGCTTTTGTAGTTGTGATCAAATTATACGGTTTAAGTGGCCATATAGGTAACAAGCTTGAAGCATTCATAGTTTAAAATGTGTTACGGAAATGCATTTTGTACTTTGTTATTTGAGACAATACAGACACAAAGCTATTGAAGTTAAAATAAACTTAGTAAAATTCTTTAAGATCGCATGAGAGTTAAGCACAGAAGTGTCATCCAGCCCGAGAACCCATTTAAATAATAAGCTACATTAAAATACTTGACCTATTCTATCTTCACCTTTCGAACATAGTAAACAACTTCTAAATAATAAGCTTCAATAATAGATCTTCTATACGCAAATGAAGCCATTAAGTATACCCATTATAGTCAAGCTTGAGTCAAACCGCACATAATTTAGATACAATTTGCGCGCACAAAAAAATATTAGCTACAAAAAAAAATCGTAAGTAAGTTTCAATTTGGTAATTTGCCCATTTCTCTCTACTCATTCATTTGTAGATTTAAATTGAAAATGACTATAATAGGAAAAAAAAGAAAAAAATGCTTGATAACTTATAATTTATCATTTTATTGTGTTATAATTTATAATTTATTATTTTGCATTATAAATGCCTAAAAGGAAAAATTTTCGTTTTTTTCCAGCAGTGATTTATTATCCATGCTATTTTTCTCTATTCATTAAACGATGATGTATATTATCAATACCATTAATGCATTAGAGTTTAATTAAAAAATGCATTGATAACAAATTAGTTCCGCGTGACTAAATTCTTCTGTATTGTATGCGAATTATTAGATCATTGCAATACTTTTTTTGCGTAGAAATTGAAGTAAGAAGATTAAAAACCAAAAATGTATGGAACTAGATCACACGAAAGGTGAATGAACGTGATTTATGTAAAAATTCTTCTCGTCATGATGCTTATCAGATCTATCAAATTCGTCGGTCAGTAAATCCTCATTGTCATCGTTACTTGCACTTAAAATTTCATTTTCATTGTCATTGTCTCTGTTTCTGTCTCTGCTCAAGTAGCTGCCTCGGAAATTTTCTTCACTCGATATGAAATCATTTTGATTTTGGAATGTAAAGTATGAAGGCGTTGTGTCGGGGATTAGTGAATCATATGTTACCGGAATAAATTTACTTTCATCAAAAACTTCGTCCATATGTTTGGGTCGATATTTCTTAATTGGAATGTGAATCACTTCAACTTTGTGACTTTCTGCGCGTTGATGTGGAATCGGTGTGTGGAAGAATTGCTTTAATGCCACAAGTGTTGCAAGAATGAAGGAAATTTTGCTGAGGATGAATGTGAAGAATGTAACAAATGCAAGCTTTTTAAGCAGAAAATGATCAAGTAGAAGCTTCAATCCTCCAAGTCCATACATCATTGGCTTCATCTTTTTGTAAATTTTACTTCCTTTTCCCTTCTTTCTCTTGTTCTTCTTGCCTCTTCTTTTCCTTTTTCCCTTTTTGTTGCCATGATCAGCATCATCATCAAGTTCAATATAATATCCATCTTCAAATGATCCATGCTCATGGGATCCAGTACCACCAATTATTACTACCTATTTTAAAAGAAATTATGAACTCAAACTTGAAATTATTTTTATTTTAAAAACTTTATTTTACATTATTTCCCGCATTGTCAGTGCCTTTCCTTTTACGACCTTAAAAGAGAGAAGATTATAAGATTTTTTGACTTATGAATGAAACTTTTTGGGGAGTTGTTCGTAAATGATGTCCATCTTATGACTACATCTTTATAGTTCCATCTATTGCTTATCATGGCACATACGGGTTTTACGTATCATGATCGAGATTGAGACTTTTCAATTTCAAGATTAATTTCATAATTGGTCTGGGACTCGATCTTAAAAATAAATTGAGACCGAGACTTCAAGAAACCTTAATGGTAATATTCTAAAGAGGCAAGCTTTTCATCTATCAGGACCTCCCATAAAACCACTGGACATCATGAATCAACAACTCCCATATTTCACTTCACAATTTCACTTTAAGTACCTGTAATTTCTAAACAATCACTTGAATTCATCATTTTTGCACAATTCATATAATTTTCAAACTGCCTTTGAAGACCTTCATTGTCTGAAATCACTTCAACAGATTTTCCATACACAAGATTGATTTCCTTATAAAACGTTAGGATTCCAAGAGCAAAATAAATTTTTATTCTCATTATTTCCCTATCTGTTCTCATCTAATGCTAACTGATAACTGAAATAAAAGTTTTTCGCAAAGATCTTCGACCAGCAAGTGAATTATGAGCTGCAAAAAAACATAATTAGCAATTACGCAATGAAATGTTCATGTTGAGATGAATTAGAATGTGTGTAAAATGCACTCATAAAAATCTCACTTAACGGCTGAACAAATTCCGAAGATATTTTTTTCTCTCTGTTCAAATTTTCTATTTATTATATCAGTAAGTCAGTAAGTACAACAAATTATTCAATACAATTAATGTAGACGATAAAAATTAACATGCAATTTTCGTTCTATTTGAACATTTTTCATCCATTTTTTAAACTACAATTTTTTTCAGTATTTTTTAAAACATTTTTTTTTGAACCTAGCGCAATCTATTATTTTGTTTGCGGCACAGCTTTAAAGCTCATCACAATTTAAATTTATTTTCATTTCTTCATTTTTTTTTGTAAAAGCTTTTCAGAAAAAGTTGAATTTTGTTGCGTGTGCGTACGTCTATAAAGTCTATGATGGTTTAAACAATTTTTAAATCTAATCTTAGATGTTGAAGTTTAAATTTTTGGTGGATTTGTAATTTTGTAAATGAGTAAAATCTTTTTTTTAACGGTTGCTGTATTTTGTGATTTATTTGAATTTGTGGATATAGAATATATATTTTCTTAAATTGAGCAATGAAGATACTTTATTAGTTTTTAAAATTTAAAAAAGATCAGCTTAACGATTTTTGTTTCAAATTAGATAATTTTTAACTTTGTGGATTGATATTTTGGTAAACAAGAAACTTTTGACAATTCCTATTCAATCATTTTTCTTTTCTGATAAAGCTGATAAGCACGCTTAAGCACAATAATTAAAACCTCAAAAAATAGCTAATGTAGATTTTTGAGCCAGTAAAATGATATCATTTGAAATCTTGATAATGAATAAATTTTCAGTTGACATGATTTTTAAATCGTAACACCGCAACACGTGCTAGATATCTTTTTCAGTTAATTACGTGATTTTCTTGTTATAATTTAGGTTTACTGATGTTTCATCTAGTTTGAATTGAAGACTTAAGCAGCTCAATTTTGAAAATTGAATGCTTCAAACTGTCAAATGTTTTCTAAATGTTTTAAATTCTTAAAAAATTAATCATTACTTAATTGTATAAATAAGGATAGTTATTGTAGTCATACTCTTGATTGTTTTGGTTGTCTTGATTATCTTGATAATAATCAAATTTTGGTTTTTTGCGACTCTCTTTTTTCTTAGAATTTTGTTTAGGATTGAAAGTTACTGGACTTCTATTGCTATTCAGCAACAATGGACTTTTAACATTATTATTTGAATTCATTGGTCTCTTGCGCTTGTTTTTGACATTTGTCTTCAATTTTGTTGGTTTTTTGCCATAATAAACTATTGGATTGTTATCGCTAGGTTCATTATAAAATAATTGATTTCTATCATCATCATCATAAAATGCTGGACTGCTGTCATCAGATTGCACTTGATTATTATCATTATTAATATTTATATTATTCCTTACATTTTTATTTCTATTTCTATTCCTCTTATTATTATTATTACTAGGATTTCTAATCTGATTGACATCATCAATGAACATCATTTCCCCATCGTCTTCTTCATCGACGACGGGTCTAACTGGATCTACATAAGGGATCGTGTTAGGATCTTCATTGATGATTGCAGTCGGTTCTCTATAAATTACATCTCCATTCTCGTCATAATAAACTTCATTATAATCATTATCGTATAATATATTATGATAAGTAGTCTTAGGTACATAAGGCTTAACAGTATCATATGAACGCTTTTGCCGAAGAACGTGACGTGAAAAAACTGTCATTTGGAATTTGAAAATGATTTGACCGATTTTTACAAAACAAAGAAATTTTTTTTTTGTTTACACAAGAAAAATTAAATTTTATTATTTTTTTATTGAGTTTATTGTACTTTAATTCAAAATGATTAGAGAAAAACAACAAACAAGTGAACTGAACACTCAAGGATGTATTAATTCAATCAATTATTGGCAAATTTATTAGTATAAGAAAAATCACTAATTTTATTGTAAGAATAACCGTTGATCAGTTTTAAAAAAATTTCTTTGTTTTGTAAAAATCGGTTAAATCATTTTCAAATTCCAAATGACCGTTTTTTCACGTCACGTTCTTCGGCAAAAGCGTTCATATGCTCTAATGTGTTGTGGATTTGCAGTACTATCAGATTTGTGCAATATATCATCAGCCCCAGATAACATAGTCGTCAGAGTTTTTTGCGGATATTTAAGTTTGAGATAGATAATAGTCGCTTGAGAAGTTTAAAAAGTTTCATAATTAACATCTACTTAACCTCATTTTATGTCATATTTTTTTTTGCTGTTGTAAATTTTACTTGCGTTAATTGTCTTTCTATTCTATGTGACACTACTGTTTTTTTGAAGTGATTCTCATTGATGAGTTGAACTTCATACATCTATTTAAGCTAGTATGTATTTTGAGAAAATTATTTTCTTGATTTCTATAAACTAAATGGTTTTGTTGTAAAGAAAAGGTTGCATGCGCTCCAGAGCATAAAATGTTTTTTTTTTGCTTCTCTCCAAATAAATAAAACACACATTTAAAATGTCTAGTAAACTGTAAAAAGCTAACGGTGTTATAGTTTTGTTTTTATCTAAATATGTTGTATGTGGAAATTAAGTAGCTGGAGAGGTGGAGGAAGAGGAGGTGAATTAAGATGAAAGTTATACATGCTTTTTTTTGCGGATGGTGCAATATGTTAAGATCAGCCAGTCACCCAAAAGATAGTTATCATTATCTAAATTTAGCCCTTAGTCCCATCACAGCTGAAAGAAGAAGAGAAGAAAGAAATGGTGCGTGAGTGTGTGATTGTTTTTTGATGCACTTAATGCCAATGACATACAATGGATTGATGAGATATTTATAACTTTAATGATCATTTTGGAAAAATTTTGTAGGATTTTAAGCCAGTGGCTTGGCAAGCGATAGCGACTAGAGCTAAGTTCGAATGCCAAACACCCTTACTGCAATACTGGCTTAAATTTTAAAATAATTTAAATCTTCTCACAGCCTTAATGACAAAATTCATTGAAATGTCCCTAATTTGATTTCTTTCTCTTCTTCCCAGGGCACCAACTGCTTTATGTAGAAACTTTGAACTAAAATCAGGGCTGTGGAACTGATCAAAAATTATTAAAACGTGATTTATCAGTTCCACACTCTTGACGACAATCTGAATGGTTCTCTCCAAGTCTAAGATATTTATTAATAGCACCGTCAAAAGTTGCGGTTAACCATACCTGAAACTTGCAAACAACCCTTTAGATTGCAATAGAAATTTTTACAAAATTTTCCCAAGACACACTTTCCTACTTGTCTACAAATTTAAATTTTATAGCACTACTAGAACTACTACTGCAATTTTAAAAATTTAATGCTTAATTACACAATTCTTTTAAAACTAATCCTTAAGCAGTCACAAGACTGAGACTAGTCGAATTTTTTTATCACAATAATTTTCTTCACATTAAAACTAAACTTATCAATCCATTTAATGACATTTATTACTACTACCTCCATTATTGTTGTTGTTATTCTTACCTGAGAAGAGGGCGAAGAAGAAACCCGCAAGACCAGCTGATTTAACAAGCAGTAGGAGGCCGGCTGCAAATGATATTCAAGTGACATGACAGAAAAATTAAACAATACATGAGTAACACATAAAATTAAAGCTTTTAAATTCTTATTCTACATCTGACGCATTGCAGTTCTTAATGCCACAAGCATTTTTAACTGCATTACTGACATTTGGATGAACATGTAAAAGGCAACATTTGAGAAATTTTTCATGATCATCCTAGCCAAGTGGATCAATGCCTTACCTACGAATATAGGAACTAGCGTGAAGAATTTAAGCTTGTATGCAATCAGCATAGGCAGCATCATCTTTTTCATCATCATTCCCTTCTTTTTCTTCTTTTTCTTTTTCTTTATTCCTCCTTTTTTCTTCTTTTTAAAGAACTTTTTCTTTTTCTTCTTCTTCTTCTTCTTTTTCTTGTCCTTCTTTTTCTTGTGGTGATGATGTCCCTAATGAAGAAAGTGTTAGACATTTGATGATTGAGGTCCTTAGCAGTAAGTGCAATTTTAAACTTCCAACGATACCGCAGAGTTATAATATTATTGAAAAATATTCAAAAAGGAAAGAAGCATATCCAAAAATTTACTTTCTAAAATCTACTCTCTGGATATGCTTCCACATGGGTCAAATACGTGTGCTTCTAGAAAGAATAGACTTTAGTACTTACATCATCGTGTTCATCATGACCATCTTCTTTGTCGTGCTCTACTATTTCATATGAATGGCTTTCGTGACTTTCGTGGCTTTCGTAGCTTTCCTCTATTAAGTTTATTGAAAATTAATAATTAGTGATTTAATTCGCCCAAGTTTTTATATATAAATTGTAGCTGTTTATTGAGTGTATTTTTTGGGTGTCTATATTGTAGGAATTAATAATTCTTTTAAACCAGCATTAAATACCAAACCAACCTGTCTCATACCCCTCGTGTTCGTAAGAATGGCTTTCTTCCTCGTGATGATGCTTTCTAGCAATCACTGTCGTTTCAGGAGGATAATTACCATAATTGTGATATTTTAAAAGACCTGTGTTATTGCTATATATTAATGGAAGTTGCTTGGATTCGATCACAGCACGATATCTAGTCTCATTTGGTTTTGTGTAATTATTCTGTATAATGCTGTTGTTCTTAAAAACTTCCGGTTGCTTGTAAACGCTCAGCGCATTCAAATCACTAGTTTTGTTCACATTTTCAGGATCATCATACGTCTTTAAATATTTACTATTACGATTATCTCGATTAGTCGATCCAAATCTTATTAGAAACACAAATATTGACAATGTTAAAACAAAGGCGAAAGGATTTTTCATTTTCTTAAGATTCTTAGCAATGAAAGTCTCCTTAAAATTCGCATTTTGTTTCTCATTTCTTATTATGGAACTTATTTTGGAAAATTTTAATCTTTCAAACTTCTACTCAAATATTATCAGACTTGCTGATAGTTCTAAGGTTTTTAGTGTACTGAAAGGCGCGAGCATTGCCGAGATGTGATTTATACTGTAATATTTAATGACACAGTATAAAAGCTTATGACAGATTTTACAGATCAGCAATCTGTATAATCATTTTCATAAAGTCAAAATGCAAATAAGCATAATGCCTACAAAGTACTCATTTTTTTGCTCTACAAGTATTATTTCACCTGCAACTCAATTTCACACGACATAAAAAAAAGATTTTCAATAGAGTTCTTACAATTTTCTTGATATTGAGCATGTACAAGCATGCAGTAACCTAGAAAAAGAATGTTTGTGTTTAACTTTTTACTGTCGAACAATTAGTTCACATTTAGAAGAAGAATTAAGGCATAAAAATTTAATTGCTCTATGAATTCAATTATAAAACATTTAATGTTGGTTGATGTACAATATTAAGGTGAATGTAAATCAAAGTGGTAAATGATACTTTAGCTTGGAATTACTATTAAGTACATCAGAAGGTTGGATTCAAAAGTGCTCACAAAATTTGAGTACTTATAGTTCCTAGAGTAGCTTTTAAGAATTTGCAATTTGTTCGAAACGCTAAACTGATGCTACATTAGTTCAAAATCACATCTCTGCTAAAGGGTGTGAAACTAATGAAATGATCAAAAATGATCAAATATAATTCATCAGTTCCGTACCCTTGTCTCCGCTAACGTTGCATGTTTAATTCATTCCAGACATCAATCATACATTATCATTTGTAAAGCCCTTCACTGTCCCAAAGCTTCTATATTCATCATATTGAAAACGCATTTAAGAATGCTTTAATCCCAAAGCAAATTGCAAGTCTGCAAGTCGCAAATTAACAAATAACAATGCATTTGTACTGTATACTTATTATTATTAATCTAGTACATTACTTCCTTTTCCATATTTATGAGGTGATAATAAGAAGATCTGAAAAACGGTGAAAAATCTACAATAAAAAGTAATTTTATTCCTCATGCTGAGCTGAAAATGCGAAAATTTAATTTTATTTATGAAATTTTATTGCAAATATTCTTGAGATGAAGATGAATCTTGGAAAGGTATAATGAACTTAACTTTAAGAAGATGTGCAATATTAAGTTGTAATGCACTCGCTCATTGATTCTTCTCCATGTAAAATAATTCGATTAATTCAGACTTAGAAACTCAGTTCTTCATAGGATAAAATATAATCCAACGATTCTGATCGATACAACTTAATATCCAAATCTAAGCTTCTTATTCTGAAAGACAGCAACAAAAGTAAAATGTTCGACAATCAAACGGATGCAATGAATCTATAATCTACTTCATTTGGTCAGCGTAATTGCATTTTTTACAAATACAAGATTGTGCTTACTGCAAAAATCTTAAAAGAATTTAATAACGGTGTAAATTAAATTTCTTTCCTATTCGTAGGGTGATGATCTGCAATTTCGTGCCAAATTACATTGGAGATAGGGAAAATTTTAATCTAGAACAAATTGGTGAGACAGTTACTTCGATAGTTCTCAGTATTTACAGTAAAAGTTTGTGGAACTTAACGGACATGTAGACAATTTGGTGGGAGTATTCGGCAAAGGAACATGCTTAATTGATCATTTAATTTTGATGCTTAACTTTCCTTGACATTGTAGATTAAGTTTTCATTTAGCGATGCTTGACAGCCTTAATGATTTTTTAACGTCTTTTTGGGAGAATTAGAGTCACAAAAAATTGATTTTTATTAAGAGAGAATTTGTCACATAATTTAAATCTTTTTTTTTTTTTTTTTAATTAAACTTTTTATTTATTTACATTTAAATTTAAGTATGTACAAAGTTTCTATACATTTTGTTGCTTTTTGTTTTAAGGTTTCAGGCATTCAATTTGCCTTTTGTCTCTTAATTTTGATTTCATTTACGGATTTTACTTTCTTTTGTATTTCATTTGATTTATTCGGTGTTTTGAGATGCAAGACGACTGTTGAAGTTCGCTTGCAACTTTCCGACGTAGTCTTCGATGGACGGTATTTTCGCTTCTGTATGAAGATCGGTGATCCTTTCATATCACACATAATTTAAATCACTTTGTTCTAGTTTTGTAGGTCGTGAACACTTGATGTCTTTTAAAATTTAAGAGTTTTGCGATCCTTTAGAATAGTTTTTTAAGGTTTTTTATATTCCATTGTATGTTCCTTTTAACAGAGTATTATTCAGCTCTAATTGACTGGACAGCAACCTAAAAGGGTAACGATGTGGTATAGAGTTCACATAATACCTACTTAGTGCCACTTCTATACCGAATCTAGCTTTTAACTCTATCTTTAGATCACATCAGGATCAAAAGACCCCCTGAAGCCCCATAAATATTAAATTAAATTCAGTTCAAGAATTTGCAACAGTTAATTCCAATGAGCACGAGCTTGTAAAGATTATTCAGACTTTAAAATAAATTTTCGCAGTTGGACTTAATTGCACACTTTAATTGCCCATAATAACATGAAATCATCTTTTGCCAGAATTATCTAAGCAGGATATCAAGCTTTAAAGTCATTTATATAAAGAGAGTTTGGTATAATTTGTCAGCTTAAATGGAGTGATTCAAATCTGATGAGAAATTTCCGCTTCATAAGAATTTTAAGTATCTACAAAATAGGGAAAGTACCGGTCATGCCCCTTTCAAGCTAGCCAGTGGAAAGTGGCAATAAAAAAAATGAAAATCTATTTCACAAATCAATGAAAATATTACAGTATTTAACGCAGTGAATGAATGAGAGAAAGTGAAATTAAATTATGAGGGAGGAGAAGTTGACATGATTCATATTTTTTTCATCAAAATGAAAATGACCTTTGCATGCAGATTATAAACCTGTAATTTACTGAAAAAGAAGACATCAAAACATCACGATTTAAATTTTCCATATTTCTCTTTCTATATTTTTCTCGTTTTTCAATTTTGTTGTTTTTTGCTTTCGCACGTACATCATTTACATTATGATCATTTCCTCGGAGATTATTACAATACATAAAAATAATAAATACAACAATTTTTCTTTTACTTTAAATAAATAAAATAAATAAACTACAATTAAAATTCAACAAAAAAAAATGTTAAAATAAATATTAATCTCTCGTTGATCGAAAGGATCTTGGGGCACCATATCTTCAATTATTCTAGTGTCGGAGCAGATGGAAGTCTTTGGGTATCGAGTCATGAGTAGACAATTATGCTTGATATAAGCTCTTGTAGCAATTTAATAGACCAGAAATCTATAAATTCACTCTTTTATTAAGTGAATGTAGGTTCGATTCCCTCCAGATGTCATCTCGATATCCACAAAGGTTCCACCAAATGCTCGCGATATTAAATTTATAAAATAATTTAAACTGGCATTTTTGTTACAAAAAATGAAAGAATTTCATCTCCCATTTCTTTCGTTATCGTTTCTAAGCTTAAACAACGAAATGTGAAAAAAGAATGTGTGGATATAGATTAAATTAGATTGAAAAGAGCAGCAGCATGAAAAGAAATTATAAAAGTACAATAGATAAACACGTGAGTACGAAAAAATTAAGTTATAGTTATAGGTCGGGGAATAATGAATGAAATTAAAAGAATAATAAAAGAATTATTCCCAGTGCTTCACGTGCAGCACCAAATAAAATAGAAAAGGTTTTTTTCTGTGTTCAATTATTGCTTAAGCATTTGGAAAATTGGTACAAACCTAATTAAATTGTCAGTAAAGCCGCAGTTCAACGATTGGGAAGTAATGTATAAAAATGTACTTAGCATGTTAGTAAAGTGAATAAATGTAGGAAAAAAAGAGAATGAGACATGAAGATAAGACCACAACTAAGTAGATAGGCATAAAAATATATAAAATAAAGCTCAGTTATTTTGTAGTTTGAGATCAATAAAAGAATTAAAGTAATAGAAAGAAAGTGAAAGAATGGTATGAAGTACAAGCAGGAGGGAGAAAACTGTTAGGCAGGTTAATTTAAGTATGCTGAACAATAAAAGACTTCGATGATAGAAAAAGCGTGAAACACTCTTAAATGTTATGAAGGCAATAGAAGGAAGTTGGAAATTAGATTTAGAGTTGCTTATTGCTGCTTAGGATGTCCACGATAAGCAATATTTTGTGCTGTTTCTGGTGTGTCAATCGATCGTTCCCATCCAGAACCACCTTGTTGCCATCCAGCTGAATGTGCTGGTGCTTGTTTCTGACTTACAATCTTCTTCAATCCAATGATACCAGCAAGCAGAAGGGCGATCTTTGAAACAATCAAAGCTTTTCCAGCAAGGACGTAAAGACCAGCGATAGCAATTGGAACCATCGACAACATTTTCATCATGAATCCAGCCATCATCATCGACATCATTTTCTTCATTTTACCACGACCTTATTGTTGGTGAAAAGAAATTTTGTTTTGGAATAGAAAAGAATATGACAATTATTAGTCACCACGAAACACACGACAATAAGAGTCGCAGAAAAAGAAAATAAAAACAATCAAAAATAATTCTTCATGCATCAATACCTTCTTCTAAGCTACGTCCCAATTCCTCATTTGACAATTTTGGAAATTCAATTTGAATTGTACGTGCATTGAAGAATTTTGCAATTCTTTCAACGAGTAATTCGGTAAGTGCCTCATCGCGAGCTTCAATTCCACGTGGGAGTGTCTGTTCCAATTCATTTTCACTAATTGGCTTCACTTCTGGTGCATTTTGATTTTTCACAATTTTAAATCCATCGTTAACTGCGAATGTATCCATGCGTCCTACACGATCGATAATATTAATTGCCTTTTTCTTGAGACATCCTGACATTCCAAATTCTGAGCGGGTACATTCCTCATAGACACGCAAAAGTGCACGTGTTCCTTGATTGTAAAGATCCTCGGCATTTGTTGCACTGACGGCAATTAGCACAATTAAAGCACACACTGTGAATTTCATTTTTTTATATTTTATTTTTTAATTTCTTTCAAAAAATTTTTATTTGTTTCTTGCAATTTTCTGCACTTCCACTTTTAATTCCTTTTTGCAATTATTTTCTTAATATTTTTTTAAAATCACTTAATTTTTTTGTTATATTAAATGCAATAAAGTTCACTGGCAGATGATCATTGAACCACGGCTTTACAATTACTGATACCAAGCACAGAAATACACCACATATTTATACATATTAGAGTGTAGCAAGAGATAGAAGCCATAGACACAAGTTGGGAGAGAAAAACTCAACAAAAAAAAATTTTATAATCCGAAAAAATAAGCGAAAGAAGCAAGAAGTGAAGGAAAAAAGAGTTTTACAATTGGAAAGAAAATGCGCCCGCGGTACAAAAACAATTGAAGAGAAAGAAAAGAAGTTTTAGAGATAGAAAGAGTAAGCATGATTTGATGAATTCGACTGAGTATGTGATTTTTTTTTGGCGGGAACTATTTGAGTTTGTTATTACACATTGTGTATGGATTACAATACGTGAAAATTTCTAGTTGATCCTCCATGAAATTAATTCTATAATGCATGCATGTGTGGATGTCAGGTTAGATGAGAAATTTAATTTGATTGCAATTCTTCTTCTTGTGGCTTTAACCTTGCATTTTTAATGCACAATTCACTTTCATTGATTTTCTCTACACTCTTTTTTTTTAACGTAGTGCATCTTTATAAAGTAATTGATGATTTTTGTGCTGCATTCTTATGAATAACGAGTTGTGAATGGCGGCTGTTTGTCTGTTTATTGTGGATTTAAGTATTATTTTCTTTTTTTGTCATTTTTTTGCAATTTTGTGGTTTTAAAATTAATAGTAAATAGTTCTGCACGATTTTGATATACATATTTAAGAATTGCATGGTGAAATCCAACTAGATCGTCCCTTCCTTTCATATTAATTAATAATAGATGTCTGAAAATGGAACTATAACAAAGCTACTATCAAAAATTTGTGATAACAAGCTGAGAATAGTCCGAAAAATCATACTTATTGAATTACTTATGTCATTAGTACAAAAAATGCTTTAATCATCCTTTAATTATAATGCACATTCTACCTTCCAATTTTCTTTTATCATTCATACACACAACTTACTATAAACTCCTAAAAACCCAATAAATGAACACTTTATGATTTAATCACCAAAGAAAGTGATAAATGATTGACACTTTCCCTCTCAAATTGCCATTTTCGTGATGATAATTTCATCAATTTATTTTATATGAGAAGTGCCAGTTAAACATCATATGAGTTGTACCGAAAAATAAGCCGGAAAGGTAGAAACATGGTTGACAATTTCCTCAAACTGATAGTTGTCAGATTTTCCTCAATGCTGACTGTGAGCAGCTACTAAGGCATTTAAAATGAGAAAACGTCTTTAACAAGTTGGTATTGATCTTTAAAATTTTAAAATCTTGCTGAAGATATCTTTGTTCTGATTTGATACTGAATTTGTGGCTCATGTTAACTTCACACAAGCTCAACGCCGGATCTACCTCAAAGTGGAATTCGAATGTTTTGCATCCAACCCAGTGCTGTCCAAACTTTTTGAGCCGTGCACACTTGAGGTGTAAGTCTTGACCAAAGTTGCACAAAGCATGTGGTTCGCGTCATCTCCAAGAATTTTAAAAGGTACACAGTTTGGATAACACTGATGCAACCCAAAGCAAATTTTATTTCTTAATTAAACTTTAAAGTCTAAAGGAATGAAACTAAAGGGACGACTTACATTATTAAACCAATTTACTTCGAATGTCTTTAGCAACATTTATTATGGAGTCGTTCACTTATTACGTTACGCAAAAAAAAATTTTTTCACCCCCCTCCCCCCTTGTTACAATATGTTACAACTCACAACCCCCCCCCCCCCCTGAACGTTCATAATTTATTTCATTTATCATTAAAAAGGTGGAAAATTTAAAAAATGTTTTTGGTGTGAATTTGTAAACAAATTTCTTTCGTGAACCCCCCCCCCCCCCCCCCCCCCCCCCCATGGAACAATTTTTCAAACCCCCCTCCCCCCTAAAATGCGAACGTAATAAGTGAACGGCCCCTATGTGAAATGAAGCTGTGATGAAGATAATAAAAATGGTAGAAATTAGGTATGCTATTAAATGGAAGGTATGTTGTATGTTTAGGATGTCCTAGATAAAGTTTAATTGAACTATTAGATTTATTACTCTCACGATACCCGTTTTTAAGGGTCTGTCGATGTACAACATGCAATTTCAAATATTAAAACTCATAGCTTGAACACATTGTTCCTTACAAATCCTGTCTAAACTTAAAAAGTTCCTCACAATGCGCCTTAATCATTCAAACAAATGCAAATTAATTCAATCTATCAATTTTCTGTTCATAACTTAAGCAGTTGGTAGCGAAAAAGAGATGGATTGAGACAATGATCAATTCCAATTGCACATTTTCGCTTACACTGCATTCCATTGTATATTCATTGATAATTTTATGAGAATACGTAAATGCTATGAGGAGAAGATTTATACAAAATGAAAATAAAAATGTTTATTTCTGTATTAAAGTGAAAGAGAAATGAATGCAACATGAAAATTGCATTACAACAACAAGTTTATGACACACAAAATGATTTTTCATTTGCAATTTTCGGAGAGTTTGAGGGAAAGAAGCTTGAATGAGTATTGTTATTATCCATCGACCTTTATTGATGTACTACATTTGCAGTATTCGTGGTTGAGTGATTTAGATTATAAACTTCTTTTTGTAGACTAGGTTTGAAACATTTGATCGACTAAGACTATAAGGGCGGGAACTAGAATATTTGGGACATATAAACGAATAGTAATCTACAAGATTCACAACTCTGTATGTACTACATCTCAACAATCAAGCATTTCCCATGAACTTGCTTACTACTCAAATAATTATATCCAATCCATTACATTTAAGACATGCAATTGACCTTTTAATAAAGCCAATTTAATCAAAATATCTGCAGTTAAATTAGCTAACTGCTACAAATTGAAAAGCGAAGACAACAATGTCAATAGCAACAAAAACAGCTCATTTAATAAGGTGTAAATTAGTCTGATAAAGATACACAAAACAAAAAAAAAATAAGCAGGGCGTTATAAATATCATAGCGCTGATGTAAAAAATAAAGTAAGAAGGCCAAAAAAATGGTGTAATTATATCCAAAGAAAGTTTTCTTTTTTTTCCGTAATAATTTTTTGTTTTATTCATCGTGCGAAAATAGCTGGACAAAAAAAAACAACAAGTGTAATCAGCTGTAATTCTTAGCTTTGATTATGAACATTAAGCCACTCGCTAACAGTAAACATTGTAAGAAATATTATTTGTGGATAACTATGTGAAAATTTTAATATGTAATTGTAGCCATGATCATGAAAGCAACAAAAGTTTTTAAATGAACCCTAAACAATTTTCATTTTATGAATGAGGCATCAAGTCTGTGAAATTTTGATTTATGTTTGTTAGATGCTGAAAAAAGACTGCAAACTAGAGATATGAAGAATGAATTTACTTTCATTCTCAAGAATTTCACTTGAATTTGTAATTAGAAATGCATCATTATAGGGCTTGCCTGATTATGTTGCTACTGTGTTATTTGTGCTTATACTTTAGACATTTATTTCGCATGCGCTTTTCATTTGATGATGAATTGTTTTATGGATGAATAGTTGCTTGATTGTTAAACATTCTCTTACTTGGTATCAGTTGCATTCGAAAAGGATGAGTCAGACTGCGAATCTGTTCATTATTGATAGAAAAGCCTTTCAATTGCCTTAATGATGACTTTAAACAGTAAATAGCTTTGCATAATTTGTTGTTTCTCGTAGACAGCATCAATGCACAGCTTTAACCTATTTCATGCGAACGATGCTCTTCTGCTAAAATTTACACACAAATATTCAAACTTCGTGCATTTCATGCATTATTAGGTAGTTCACACTAAACTTCTTCCAGAATTTCCATAGAATATTCATGGAACTACTTTGCTCAAGCATTCCCATAGAATCATTTGTGATTCTTAACCTCTTGAGAAAGTTACTGTAAAAAATATTAATATTGTCAGTCAAAATAATTCCAACAAGTGCACAGGTTCTTCAAAAGGTTAAGTGAGAACTATAGTTTATAGAAAAAAAATTTAAGTCATTGTTTGTAAGCAAGCTGTAAAGTTGTAGAAAGACGAGAGAGACCCCATTTCATTTCATGAGTGTACTTGCGCTCCATTAATTACGCATAAGACTCTAACATTTAACTGCTATGATGGGTCATTCAACAGGTCATCATCCATTCATGTTTCGAGAGTGAAAACAAGATCATGATAAATATTAACTGTCCAATCTACTGATTTATTTACTTAACCATGAAATTACTTTCTGATCTGTAAGTTCACACAGGTATTTAGTTCCTTGTTTTAGAAACAGCATCAATAATTGTAGCACATAAGAAATTGGTTACACATAGTTTAATGAAGAGAAACACACACATATTTTTTGGATTTGATAAATTTGTAACTTTACATAATTTCAATTTTATGATTAGATTAAAAGTACATTTTTCATGCTGTCGGTCGCTGTCGTTTTTCTTTTTGATTCCCTTTTGTGGTCTTAAATGCTCGCTTTCATGTAATTAGATCATGTTTACGGTTCTATAAACATTGGTTAATCAGCAGTAGAGTAAGAAAGACGAGTGTTGTGGTTGAGATAAATAAGTAAGCCTGTGTGAATAGTAATGTTGGGGATTATTCCATCATTTAGGATAGATGTGAAAAATGGTTGTTGGAGGATCTAGGGACGGTGGTAGACAGCGAATCCTTGTCATTTGATAACACTCTTTGTAAATCTTTGAGAGATAGCTCTCTGGTCGGATTTGAACCCACGAAGAAGAAGGTTACAGATATTAAGTATGTTGCATAACCACTCAGCCACTCAGGTCATACTCTCGAATTGGCTAAATTGCTTACATTAGTTGCAGCTCCTGTATCGACAGACGTCATCAATGAACAACCCCATATGAGCATTAGGTCAAATCATTTACTTATACATGAGATACTTTAGCAGGTTAATATTCAAATTACTTATTTATTTAACTTGTGTGTACTCTTACCGAATGGAATTCAATCCCGCCCGTTGCAAATGAAGCAAATCGTACTTTCAATCATAAAATACTTTTCATTATACGCAAAAATTTCTCTCTTTCCTCTTAAATCCCGTAAACGCATTGACGCTTAATAAAAAAATGTTTTACGCTTCTATATTTCTCATGAGTAAATTGTATATTTTTTAGACAGTTGCGTACATTTAAGAAGCATTTTGTAAATGTTATAATAATCCACGATCAGTGTGTCAGAACAAATGGTTTTCGAATTGATTTAACAATTCAAAAGAAAGTGAAAATTGTAATTTTACGACTTATTTTATAACAAGCTCAATTTAATTTAAGGCACTTTTTACACCCAATTTAAAGCTCATGAATGAATGTACAGGTGAGCTCAAATGGCAAAATCATAAACGTGAATAATTGAATCTGATTAAATTATTTAACATATTTTTTAAAAAAAAAATACTTTTAATTAATAATAAAGTGGAATGGAGAGCAGCTAAAATATTTGGGTTGATTTCAATTAGTATGCGTATCATACGGGAGATGTAAAGGTCATTAATTATTCTATAAAATTATCCAGTTAATCATAACAAAAATAAATTTAATTTTGATAGCCACTAATTCCACTAAATGACCATTAAAATGCGATTTTCTCCTCGGCAACTCTTTTTCCGTTTCCACAATTTTGATTAATAGCGAATTATTTACGTTAAAATTGAACCAGCTGAGATCGGAATGATTCGTATGAGAAATTAAGATTACTGCACATAATTGCATAACATTTATTGCTTCTTATCACATATCGACACTGTCAGCTTCTGTTAAGCGCAAAAAAAAATATCTCGATATTATCAAGTCTTAAATAACTTACTATACATGCTATAAAAGTGAAATTTTCATTAAGAAAAAAATATGTTGGTAAGTATGCTATCATAAAATATTTTTACTCTACTTCTTTGCTCGCATAACTTAAGCACATATTTCTTTTAGCTGTTTTTTAAGTGAGCAAGTGCTGTGGTGAACTAAGTCTGGGTTAATGATTTGCTTAGTTGATATATTGACAATTAAGTCTTTAAATGAGCTAGGTTATGTTATTTTGTGAATTCTAATATTAAAGTCCTATAATGATCTTATGATTTCAACCTGTCTGGGGCTTCTTTGGTATAGTAAGGTAAAAGGCGACTAGAAGTTGATAAAGGATTGTTTCTGTAATTGTATTAGGTACTTTTGTAGCTTTGGGAGCTTAATAAGTTCGATACTGTTTTAATATCATTGAATTCATCTAGATTATGCTTGAATCTTTTGGATTTTTGGAAGGTTTAAAGCTGTTTTAAGAGATAACATTGAATATGTCGGATTAAATTAAACGCTGCTAAAGTTCAATGAACTAAAAGTCAAAAGCACATTTTCAGGATAAGAATCTTTAAGACATTCAAGAAGAATTATTGTTAAACTTCAACTGCAAAACCTTTCAAAACAATCTGCAACAAAAATAAAGATGACCTATAAACTTAAAGAATGAATCAGTCTCCTTACTCTATAACATGCATGCGCTCTGTTCATTCACATGATCGTGATAATGTTACCAATTCTTTCATTTTCAATTAAAATTCATAGAAATATATTCGTGTGCACGCGTACTTTAATTGACCGCTGCAATTTATGATTTTTTTTGAGGTTTTCTCAAATTAGCAATATGTACGATGTGCTGTCATGAAAATTTAAAAGACGTGAGATTTCCATTTCGAGAAAATTATTACATTATCTTGTTGTTTTTGGAAAGCTGATCATGCTTTTTTTTTGCAGAAAACTAAATTCGCGAATGTTCATGAATACTTAATTTTATTTATACGTAAAAATCAATTACATTACATTGCTTGAGATAGCTAGAAATGTATGAATGAAAAGAGAGAAGATGTAAATTATTCAATCTTGTTAATTAGGGTATAAATTTATAATAATATTTTTTGAACATAATTAATCCGTTCCCATCAGCATTGATAAGAAAGTGAGAAAAGCTTTTTTAATTAAGCTGTAATGCGAATTTTCATGTTCAAAAAATGATTGTGTACTGTAAAGATTTATCTGGTAAGTTGAACATGGCTTGAACTTCAATTAAACTAAAGCAAGAAGAGTTTGATCTTAGAAGATTTTCAGATTAACTATCGAGGAAGGATAGTGGAGATATAAACTCCACTAAAGCTTTGTCCTGAAATACACGCGAATCTACAAACAAACAAAGCTTATCGAATTCCATTTAGGAATCTTTCAAAAAGTTTAAAATCATACTTCTAAAGAGGAGTAACAAATGCCTTCCAAAATGATTATAAATCCCAAATATCTCATGAAACATCTTACAACAGAAGCTGTCCATAAAACTTTCTATCAAATCTTAATTTTCATAAATAAACGCGCGAAAATTAAAAACAAAATCCATTTCTTAGAGTCATATACAAACCTGAATTTTTCATACATGAACTGACAAATCATAGCGTGAATAGTGCTCTTTTGAAACTATATCTACGCAGTATATACGCCTAAATATGTGCGAAAAATATTCATAAAGATTTCTTTTTATAATAAAAGAGGAGAAAGAAGTAAAACTTAAATTAAATATAGTGAATCATCTTCGTACAATGAAAAGTCATGCATCATGCATTCTTTTTTTTCGCGCGAAGAAGATCGTTTCCCATTGATAAGACGGGAAAGAAGTTGCATGTGCATTGCATATAAAAGATGTGCATTTCACTTTCAACATCACATAATATAACATTTTCAAGACGAGTCATTGAAGATTCCAGAGAGTAAGCGGTGCTTTAAATTCACTTTTCTTTTTATTTTTCATCATGTTTACTGTCCATTCTCATTTCTCTTCTTTACTTTAATGACTACCTTTTGGCTGACTGGCTTTTCTTTTTGTACAATTTCGTGCACAGTTAGTTTTCTGCTACTTCTTTCTTTTATAAATACATCCAATTCCAGCTGTCACATAAACGAAAAACATAAAGACATGAGCATTGTTAGAAAGAAAAATTGAAAGTCATTGACAATTCGAATCAGCAGAAGTAATTTAAATACATTTTAAGTCAGATTTGGTCTTTTCATGATCATGCTCACGTGCTTTGTAACTTTTCCTTTCACTCGAGCAGCATAACCTTGCAGATATTGCACATTTTAATGTAATACCTTTCTTCCTTCCTGTTTTCATCTCGTTTATGTCGTGAATGTCATTGAATTTTTGTCGGAAGATGAAATAACTGGTAATGATCTTCTTCGCTGATTGTTATTTAAAAGTTCAACAAACTGCTGCGGATGTAAGGAAAATTTTTTTATGCAATTCTGTTGGATTTTGAATTTAATACTAAAGTTGAAGTCCGGGAATCTTGAAAGGTTGTTGCATTAAGTCGATTTGAAGTGAAAAGTCGTTGTTTTAATGAAGTTAAAACTAGAATTGCTGGTTTGACTCAAGAACCGCAGATCTGTAATAGCTCGAACAATTTTGTTTCTGTTTGTCCTGACATTTACAATAGAATGTAATGTAGGATTTTGCCAATAGCAAAAGCGGCACTGCGATCGATGATCTGTTAAACCAACACAAGTCCCCTATGTTAGAATTCCGATGTCCTTAATGAATCCAATAATGTCCTAATAATGCTGCTTATTTATATCCTCATCATTCAAATAGTCCTCATCAAAATGCTTGATCATTTACAAAGTATATGAATGATTGTTTCTTCATTCACATTACAAAACCTGCAAATTTTATTGTTTGAAAAATTCAATTTAAAAAGAAAACTATTGATACTCATGTGTCCTGTCAAAGCACCAATTAAGAAGCTAAGATCTTTCAAAGCAAATTCTACAGCCTTTCAAATCCATATCCAAACAGTAATTAGCACCCTCACAAATAGCTTGAACTTCTGCCTGAAAGACAGAAGCATGATATTGCAGTTTGTAGGATAAATTCAAACTCAGATTATTGCTGAACAAACCAATGCCAACATCCGTTTCTGACTTTGATGCATCAGTAAACACAAACATACAGTTATTATCCACCAAATCACAAGATTCAGCAGCATTATCTTCTGATACAACTACTTTAAAAGGTTTGTCAAAAACGTATTTAACTATATTAAACTGACATTTAATATAAAGATCTTCGTCATGTCATTTGACATTTTCTCTAACTGATCCCGTTTCGTTCATCACTACTAAGTTGTTCCATTACTCAATTCTTTAACATTTTAATTGTTATTGGATCTATTGTTTTTCAAATATTAATAGAATAAAATAAAGAAATTTGCAGATGTAATTATGCACTGAGAAATTAAATTAATTTATTTTGTCCTGATTCTTTCCTCATATTATATGCTCATTCCTCATCGTTCGTGAGAAAAAAAATTCTAAAATCAGCAAATATCTAAATTCATAAGTCTCATTCTCAGCTTGATTAAGTTCATGAAATAATTATGATACAAAAAAATGAAACATTCAAAAAAGTATTGGCTGACATTCAATTCTTCGATTCATCCTTCTTGTCATCCTCATCATTCTTATCACTCTCCTTGCTATCGGTAATTGACGTTTTTTCTAATGCTTTAACAAACTGCTCTAAATCGCCACTATTTGCAGCTAAGACAGCATCATCGCTCAATTTGAATTGTGACACAACGGGTCCGAGTTGTCCGGATTGTAAAGCATTTGAGAACATTGAGAGTGCTTGTTGGAACTGAGGTGAAGCTAATGTTTCTTTTAATTGCTGTTTAACTGAATTTGAATCTACTGGCTTCTTCTCATCATCTGTTTCATTAATATTTGGCAAATGATCTTGCAGGGATTTTAAAAGTTCTGGATCGGATAAGATTGAATTGATTGTATCTGAATTAAGAGATGTTGACAAATCAACACTGCTCTGTTTCGATCCACCGGCACTTATTCCAGCCAAATAATTTTGTAATTCTGATAATAATACACGAGATGCTTCTGTATTTGATCCTGTTGCTGGTGTCGCTGCTTCAGTTGGACCAGAATTTGTTGCCTTTCTTGGTGCTCGAGGCGTTGCAGGTTGATTAGTATTTTCAGGAGTTTGAGCAACAGCAGTTCCGCCTGATGATGCCGTGGTAGTACGCGTTGCTGATGGTGTTGATGATGCGGAAGTGGTTGTTGTATTACGACTGCCTGAAGAAGGCCTATTAAGGCTACCAAGTAAGCTACTCAATCCACCCATTTGACCAACTCCGCCAAACAATTGCATAAGTTGCTGTTGAGACATATTATTGAGCATATATTGCAAATCACTTCCTTCTTGTCTGCTTCCACTTCCACCACTGCTACCATTATTTGCTGACGGTGGATTATTCAGCAATTCATTGACCTTACGACAATATTCGTCATCCTTATCATTAGTTGGCTCTTGAAGCCAAAAGAACAGTTTGCGATTTGATGACTTGAATTTCAGCAAAAATACACGTCCGTCCTTGCATTGATCGACCTTCTTAAATTCACAATCGTCTGGGAAGATAATTAAATCATCCTCGACATTTCCCGATGTTCTATCCTTCCAGCAAAAATGGGTTAAACTGGAAATGACAAAAATATCGATGTAAATGAATGAAAATAATTAAGTTATGCTTCTAATTACCCATCATCTGCTGAATAAATGTAGACTAAACCCTTTCTGAAAATTAAAAACAAAGAAAATTAATTACATTGCATAAATTATTGTCGTATTTATAGAACTTATTGGAAGTAAAATATTTGTGCACTATAAGTTGACTAAAAGATCCAGTTAAGTGATAGTTCACGACCTTCCTTACCTTTTATCAGCATGAACCATTTTCTTCTTAGTTCCTTCCTGAACACTATCAATTAGTGTCATTCTGCCTGCTTTAAACTCCAATTTATTAGAGCTGCTACTCATTGCGGCACTTCCAAACATGATTTTTGCCTTTTATTCTATTTTAACTTTACAATCCTCAATTTAATCGTGTACTTAAACGTCTGTTCTACAGTTGTAGTGATTAATTATAGTAGAAAACTAGCCAGATCACTGAATAAACGGCTTAAAATGTTCAATTTATTTAAAACGATGATTTTGCAGATTCTTGTTTCACAATTCTTGTCTACCCTGCAGCGTTGTTTGCCCTTCTGACGAGTATTTAAATACTTTTTGACCGTTATGCTTTTTTAAGGAACATCTAAAGCTGGCAGGTTAGAATTGCTTAAACACTCAACCAATGGCTATAGAAATCCCTTGTCTGAATAAAAGATCAGGTTTTATTAAAACTGAAGGCGATAGAATCGATTAAAACAATTTATATGCAATAATAAGTTTATAAACAAACCCCGACTTTCACACCCCTTCATACACAAATACTATCATAGAATTTTTTCCAAAAAAAAACATGTATACTTTGAAATCTTTAAGAAATTCTTTAATTAATAGTGTTAATTCAAGTAGAAATTCACTTGTTGTGAATTCTCGGAGTCTACAGCTATTTAAGAAACCAAGTGACTCAAAGAAGGATGTCGAGGAAGAGGAGGAAGAATCAGCAAAACTTGCATTTGAAGATGATTATCAAATAGATCCAGAATTAAGACAAATGGTAATTGACAGAATGAGGAATAAATCACGTCTTAGAACCCAGCATAGGAACTTCTTACATGATAAAGTGCCGTATAATCAAGCAGAGAGCTGGATTCATAATACACTCAAATATAAGAGAATGATGTTTGGAAGATATGGAAGTGAAAGTAACGTTGATCCAAGTAAGTTTAATTTACATTAATTAAAGGATGTCATCTAATGATTTATAATTTTTCAGGCTTATGCTTCTACACAAAAACTGAATTAGCAGAAAAGAATGAATATGAACGAGTAGCTTTCCCAAAAACTGTCCAAGAAATGATTGCTTATAATCAAGACGAGAAACAAAAGCAAGCTGAAAGAATCCGTACTCGTGAAGAGAATATTGTAGCTAATCTCGAGAAGTTAGAGACATGGAAGAAAGATTTGACAGCAAAAAAGGAGAAAAAGGAATCAGAAGCTCGAGTCGCTAAGGAACGTAAAGATAGATTAATTGAAGAAGTTCGTAGACATTTCGGATACACAGTACATCCAAAGGATGAAAGATTCAAGGAATTGCTAGAAAAGAAAGAGAAGGAACAACGTAAAGCAATGAAGGAGGCAAAGAAGCAACAGAAAGAAGCTAAATTGCTCACTAAAATCGCAGAACAGAATAAATCCAGTAAAGATGACAAGGCAGAGAAGGTAGACAAGGATGAGGATTAGAATCGATAATTACCAATAGTCATTTAATAAATTCAAGAATGTTTTAAAGTTAATTGATGATCTTTAAGCTGAAAATTAAAATTACAGAAGATCCAGTGAACATAAATCGATCCAGATGTTAGGTAAGCATTAAGGATTTCTATTTTGGATCATATTCATTAAGTTTATGAACTCTTCGTTGATTAGTGTTACTATAAGTGTTTGAAAAATCAAAATTTACGAACAAAATTAATTCAAGATCAATTTTCACGTATTGTTCAATAAACTGTCGAAAATGTTATCAAAAAAAAACGTAGTAATGAGAGGTAAGTGACTGTTAATTTTATAGTGAATAGAGATATTCTCCTTTGCTTTTATTGAAACATATTCTTTAAATTCTTGAAAGTCCAATCTACAATCATAATTTGAAACCGTTTAAATAAGTTTGTTCCTACGCAAACAATAAAGATCGTAATAATAATAATAATAATAATAATAGTAATAGTTCCTATAAGACATTGAATAGTGATTTCTAAAAATTTGTAAAAAATACACCTACGTAAAACTAAATAATCTATTGACTCTAATGTTAATATAATTATTAATATCGATTTATTATAATAATGAAAATTATGGAAGATGTCTTGATGCGTTATCATCAACGTTATCAGAGTCAGGATTAACATGATCAACAAGGCACATGAATTGGGTAATCTAAATGGGGAAGAATGCAATAAAAAAGAAAGGATAGAATTGAATTTTTTTAAAAAAACTTCTTTCTATATTAAAAAGAACTCTAAGTTAGTCATTTTTTAAAAACAAAAAATATAGATAGATAAATATATAGTTATAGATATATTATGTAAAAGTAATATTTTATGTCTTTTTTGTGGAAACATCAAATCATAAATAAAACATTTTATGACTTGACATTCCCCTATCAAGACGCAATAATACTCAACAAACACTCCTATTAGACTTTTACTAAGTTTATTGCAAAAACTCAACAATAATAACTAAACTAAGAAAGGAATAAGTAAAATAACAAGACAATTCTATACAGGCAAGGAAGCCACTCTAGCAGTAATAAATATACAATTTATTTTCTTTTTAAATAAATAGTATTGAGCAAATGAAAATTAATATAAAATGCAGGCAAGACACAATAAATAATAAACATTTGTTAAAAAGAAAGAACTGAAACATTTCAAGATCTTGCTGATAGATTCTTATTTGTGAACGGTTTCAAATTTGAATCGTTGATTAGCTGAAATAATTATCTAGTCTGATGTGTGATGAGTTTGTGAATGGTTTAAAATCTACTCAAAAGTTTTTTTAATCTTTCAACATTTTTATTTAACTTTTAATCATTTTTTGTTTTGTTTTTTCATTTTTCAAGAAAATTTTGTTTTTTTTCTGTTAAAAGTTACGTTTTTCATTATTATTGTTTTACAATAATTTTTGATTTATCTTTCTAATTTGACATCCTACACTTCAATGTGGAGTAATAGAACATCATTATTATGCTTCCAAATGTTTGTGGCTTTATATGACATAATGAGTTCCGCTTTGTGTCAATTAAGCTAAGATTAAAATCATAAAATTAAATTCAGAAATGAAAATGGTAAATTTTTTAAGTATGAGCTATGAATTTAGCCTTTATTGTGAAAATGTTTTGCTTTGCTTAGATTTATGTGACTGCTTTCTTCCATTATGCTTCAAATAATTCGTTGGAAGTGCCAAAAAAAATCCTCTCAGGTGCTGGCGTATCGATCGATGAGACTTTGTAAAGCGTTATAACGGTGAAGTGAGTTCGCATGTTAAAACATGAGAAAAATTAATAGTACAAAAAGATACTGGCAAGGATACTAGACTAGGTCAAAAGAAACATTCATATTACAATTTTGTACTGACAACCTTTTTTAGCGCATTTTCCAACTTTGGATAAGTAAGGTTATTTTAGAGTTTTTCTCAAACCTAGCCTGAAAAGTTTGTTAATAATCAAACATCTGCAAAGAGTTAGATAGACCTGTTCTTGACGAAACAAAGAATATTAAGCTTTAATCTAGATATTTGTCAATTGATGTACTAATTGATAAAAACTTTTATTTCATGGATCCTGTTCAGCTTAGAATTACAGAACAAAACAAATCTTCTATATTATCTGTGAGGTTTTATTAAATATTTGTTTTGGCATTTTAATTAAATCCTTTAATGTTAAAATATAATTTAAAACCTCATAGAATTTTCCCTAATTAAATATTTAAAAAAATTCCTTGCATTTTTAATGAGTTTTTCATCATTTTTCATTTCTGAATCTTTGTTAATCTCTTCATGACACATATGACATAAAAAATAATTAACATTTTATTAAAGTAGATTGCATAATTCAAAGGCGTAAATTTTTATATCTTAGTAAATAGGATTTTATAGGGGATTTAAATGCCAAGAAAAAAATAAACTTTTCTGGCAAAATAAAACCTTTTGAAAAGTTTATCCTGGGTAAAAAAATCTGTTCATAATTACCGTCATTTATAATGCCATAAAATGCCACACCAATGAAATGAAATAGTCGTCACTTTTAGAACAATAAACTTCACTCGAAAAAATAAAATAAATACGTTCACGGTAGAAAAATTTCACATAAAAAACTGTCCGACACTCGTTAAATTTTGAAATTACTTCTTTCAGTCGTTCTAAAAGTTTATGACACGATTTTTTTTTTGCAATAAACATGAAAATATTTAACAATTGCCAATTCTGCAGTTTATATGGATAAAGATAAACTTTAAAGGTTAGCTTAGCTGCTGTTCATAAATTGCGTCCAACATTAAGTGGGGAAGGGGATCGAAGGTTTTATGACGGTTAAAGCAAAATAATTTTTTCTTCAAACAAATCTTGTGACAATAAATCTCGATTTTTGATAGACATCATTTATGAACAGCCACTTATAAAACCATAAAAGTATTCAAATAAAAAATTTGAGGTAAAATTTTCTAAAGATTTTTTTCTTTCATTTTTTTTTTACTTTATTTGTATGTTTAACTTTTTTTGTTGTATTGCTTTTTTATATTTATTTATTTTTTTGACTAGATAAAATATTTAACAACGAACTATGAACTTGTTTTTGTTTATCAGTTAATTATTTTTTATACCTACTAAATTAGTACTTTTTTTTCATTTCATTTAAAAAATAGTCAAAATCTAGCTAAGAATTTTATTTTCTCACTTAATAAGAGCACGGTATTTGTGCGGTTTTGAAGCTAACTTGTTTTTGAAGAAAATTCATTAATTTTTTTTTATTCATTATTATTATTCTCATTATCATATTCTTGATTATCAAGCATGGATATTGACATGCACTATAATTCTCATTTTTTATGTATTTTTTTCTTATGTTTTGTCTCAAAGCTAATTTTCATTGTTCTGGTTGTCTGATGATCTCAAGTTCAATTTAATTTATATTTTTTCTTATCATTTTTCTTTTTAACTTCAATTTGTTTTTCTTCTTCGTGTCTTGATTTACTTTTTTTTAAGTAGGTAGTTTTTATTCAAAGAACTGTATGTTTAGTATGTAATAGACCTGAATAAGTAATAGAGATAGGGGAAAAAAGTTGTGGAAAGAAATCAATCAACATTCCTGTGATTATTATAAGATATAATCTTAAAAAATAGGTACCGAGTTGAGAAGAATTTACTGAAATCTCTTGTTTTATATTATTATCTTATTCATTCTTTTATTCTATTTTTATTAGTTTTTTCTTCATGACTAGGTAAACTATTAATTTAATTATTTTTATTATTTATTTTCTGGATTTTATTATACAAATTATTCACAAGTTTCTCATCAAAAATATTAATTGATTAAAATTTGACATCTGTTTTTAACTTAAGAGTAGGATTATAGATTGTGTAAGTAGCGTGTTTTAAATTTATCTGAAGAATCGAACGGGGAAGTTGAGAACTTTTGAAAATTGAAAATTTTGATTTAAATTTTAAATAATTAAAAAATTTTGGTTTAAATGTTTGACAATCTCGAAAAATTAAAAAATTCGAACAGTTTTTCTTCAAAGTGTAAACAAAAAACAAAACTCCAAAAGCTTTCAACTTCCCTTGACTAGCTCCCCTCTCTGACTGATTGTTTTTCTGATTACTGTAGAATGGATTTATGTAAGACACAAAACGAAAGAGCTTAAAATTTGTTACTAAACAAATAAAGCTTGAAGAATTACTTTTTCCATATTTTTATATGTATATAGTTAATGTAGAATTTATTATTATATATTATTGTTCGACACACTGTCGTAAATTCAAATTTTGACAAATATATTTATAATAATTGAGTTCAGTTAAATATTAACAATATATTAGAGAATCGTTTTAAAAAATGCGACTCGTTCGTAAGGCAGTGCAATCGAAACTTTTATTTTTAGATTATTAACAGTTTTTTCTTTGTCTAATGAACTTTAAGAATCAATTGATTTAAGTAACAATCATTCGAATCTTTCTTAAAAATTTCTCTTCATTTTGAACAAAAACTATTCAACGAATTTTAAAAATTTTAATGAATAAATTTTTGGAGGAAAGTTTTGTTTTTTTTTCGGCTCATTCTTGACCTTTTAGTAAGAATCCATTTAAGTTATCTTTGTAAATCTCTAAAGTTTAAATCAATAGATTCAACGTTTCAACGTTGTAAATATAAATAACATAAATCATGTTAAACGTACGAGGAAAAAGTTATATTTTCGATTTAATAATTAATATTGGGTAAATAATGATAGCTATGTAAAGGCACAAATTAACATAAGAAAGTTCAACGAATAACTAAAGTTATATGCATTAGAATAAACATATTAAATAGAAAAAGTTTTACGCTTTTTTGTTGTATTTGATAAAGTTAAAATCTTTGAATTTACTCAAATAGGATCTCATATAGAATAAAATCAATAAAATATTGATCATTTCAAATATGCAAACTTTTCCTCCAAAATATTATCCAAATTAAAAAATCGCTCTATAATCATTAAATTATTATTGCATTCTCGAGTTTGATTTTTATTTCTTTGTTATTCCTAAACGGAGTTCTTTCAATTTTTTTGATTACTATCATTAGCGAATTATCTGATAATAATAATAATCATTTGATTAAATGAAAAATTGGCAAAAAAATAATAAAAGGGGTTTATTTTTGTTAAGTTGTTAAAATGAAATAAAGATGATAAAAAAGCTCAAAAGCTATTTAAAAAGCTCATTGCAATGCATTTTGACTTGAAAAAAGCTTTAAAAAGTTAGCAAAAAAGCAATATTGTAAAATGTTTTACTGTTCTTGAATTTTGAAATGTTTCACTGTGTTTGTGTGACTAAACAACTTAATTATATATTCTTTCATTCTCTTTTTTCGGCATTCAAAAAAGTCAAATTAATTTCTTTTGTTAAGCAAAATAAAGGAATCAAAAAGTATAAAAAATAAACAACTAAAAACAGAAATAAAGTTTTTTTCTGTCAAAAATCTTTTTTTTACCGATGCACAAAGCACGAAGAATTGCTCACTTGAAGTTGGGCACAGTAAGGAACCTGGAAATGATAATTTTTTTTTTGTCGAGGGTACAATAAAAAAAAGTTTTTTTTTTCGTAAAATTAAATTTTTGTTTTCAAAGAAGCGTGGAGAGAAAAAAGAGAGAGGAAAAGTAATGAAAAAAATGATGAAAAAGGAAGTCAAAAAATTAAATATATGTTATGTGAGTGAGGAAAAGGATGTGTAAATTTTTTTTTGCTTTTCAATTTTTTTTTGTTGCCAGAAAGAATTTTGTTTATAGTATGGACAAAAAATGCAGTATAGTATAATATTTGTATGTATATAAAATAGTAAAATAGATGTGTAAATATGTACAAATGCTGGTATTTTTTTTGGGGAAAATTAAATTAGTATTTTTTTGGTTAGCACAAAATGAAATTGGCATGAAACTGGCATCAAATATAACAAATAAAGAGAAAGGATTAAAAAATTTATGTGAAAGCCTTTTTTTGTTCTATAGCAATTATTGTGTGTATTTGTTAATGTGAGAAACTCTTTCGTTTGTTATTTTTTCTGTTATCAATTATCTTTCAACTTCATTCCTCAAAGGCAATAATTTACAAAAAATTTTGTTTCAAATTTACAATCTTATTAAATCGTCATCATTATCCTTAATCAATATTATATTGTATATATTGTTTTTTTTTGTATTCTGCTCTCGATTCTAATCATTTATGATGACTCTGTTCTCAAATGACTATAATTCAATTCCTACTCACCTTGCATGTGGTGCATGTTGTGCAATCTTTTGATTGCAATTGTTGTTGTATTGTTTGATCGTCAGAATAAAGATGCTTCTCAAAGAAGCAGGGCTTCCCAACAGCATTCGTTGTCGAATTATTAAAACCACATGAGTCATTAGGACATCGACGACAACAATCGCCTGGCTCAGGTGGAAGAGGATTCTCACAGAATAATGGAGGACATTCCATTTTCCAACAGTCAAATTCTCCATACTGTGGATTCAGAAAGATAGGAATAAAATTAGATTAGCTCAATAAGTGGCATATTGCAGCAACTAGCTTAGCTTAGAACATTTCTCACCAAACACTCGCAAGTTTGACACTGATAAATCCATTGTTCGCCACTTTTAAACGTGACATGTTTCAGTTCTTGATGTTGACATGATTCATTTGGATCACACTGTGGACAACATAAATCACGATCTTCAGATCGTTTCCATTTAGAACAATCACACGAGGGCTCCGTACACGTTACGACACCTTTGGAACATGTACAAATACTACAGGGTTGATTTCTTGGCCTAACTTCACCTTGATCGGCGATCTCCTTATCTTCGAACATGCAACTAAGTTTGCACTCATGATTCGTTGTTTGACGTGACTTTATTGTATTATACGATGATTTCATATTGCTACATTTACATTCGAAATGACCTTCCGTATTGACACATTTTGCTGACGAATGACAACTATGCGTATTCTCCACGCATTCATCTATGTCAACACAACTATTGTCTTTCATCTCATAACCCGGTTTGCACTTACAATAGTACCTGTTATGTTTAGGATAAAATAATGTTTTATCTTCCATAGAGAATGAATTAAAAATAATATTTACCATCCCGGCATATTTACGCATTCAGATGTCGGTGGACATCCATGATTAGTCTTACATTCGTCTAAATCTTTTTCGCATGAAGGTCCTTCGTAGCCTCCGCGACAATCACATTCGTTTGGTGCAATACAATCACCACCATTAAGACACGGTGGATCACAAACAGGCACACATTCTCGTCCATCACCAGTAAATCCCTCTTTACATTCGCATTTATATGAGCCAATTGTATTTGTGCATGTTGCATTTTCATGACACGAATTATTTCCCGTTTCACATTCATCAATTTCGGCACAATTCCACTTATCAACATAAGTAAATCCATTTAAACACTGACACTCAAATGAACCATAAGTATTGATGCATTGTGTATACGAGTTACAATGATGCCCATTCTCACCTCCACGTTCAAGACACTCATTTACATCTAGAACGATATAATGAATTTGATTAGTTTGTTCTTAAATGTCATTAGAATACAAATGGCTATGTGTGGGCGTAATTACACTATAAACTGTGATTGTCGTACTTACCAGTACAATGATATCCATCACCCTGAAATCCTTTATTACATTTGCATGTATAGCTCGTGTTTAAATTGAAACATTTTGCATTATCATCACAATTATGTCCTAGTGCACAATAGTCGACATCTATGGTAAATAGATAGACAGGAATTAATGAAAGAATGGATACAAAAATACAATTAACATAAAAATTTCAAAATATAGAGCACATTCGAGGAACGATGAAAATGTTTTATGGATACAATGCTGGTCATTTATCATTTTGAATGGCTTTATTATTCTAAATTGATATGATATATTGGAATGATGAGATGAAAAAGCTATAGACACATTAATAGGAATTTTATGTAACAAAGTTTTATCGTGCAAGTACGAAAGGCAAAATCTGGTGGGTTTTTTATGGTTAAAATTTGAGCCTTCTTTTGGACTTTTTAATAAAGTCTCACATTTATCAAGGAAAAACTTCTGACCTTGATTACATTCGTGATTATTAAAAAAAAAAATCGTCCAACAGCAGAAAAGGTTGTTAAAAACACGTGTTCCATAATAGCTCTGGACTGATTAGTAATTATCATAAAAAGAATAATATCTTAATAACATGAAACCGTTCTTATGTAAAAATATACACACGATTTAAGTGTAAATGAACCGAAAGTCTAATAAAGTGAATCTTTCGTGACATTTCATTTTAGAAAAAAAAGTTACCAACCCAAAAATAGAAATTATATCATTGCATGACCTAACCTTAGTAAGCTTCTAACAAATGATCATTCTCTAATGCCTTAAAATACACAAAAAATGATAAAAGTTTAGAGTAAGACCAAGTTTTCATTACCTTTGCAATATTTACAACATTCATTCGCAACAGAAATTTGTTCCTCCGGTGGACATGATAACGTTGGACATGCAATTGATCCACATAAGAAGTTGCCATCATTACATGTACAATTATTACATCCAGTAATATGCTCATCACCATGCTCGTAGTCTCTATCCTTGAAACAAGTTTCTATAAGAATCGTGAGGAATAATAAAAGAGAAAAAAAAAAGCACCAATTATTTAAAGGAAATACTTAAATGAACTGCATGAAAATGTTCTTTTCATGTTGATCCACAACTTTATGTTTGGACATTAACTTTTATGGACAGTAAACTTACTTAAACATCTCGGACAGCACTCGCCTTCTTTAGTTACAGGATTTTTACACCTTATTTCAGGACAAGGCTTTTTGTAGCATTTAACCATGCCTTCTTTACACTGACATTGATCACATCCTAATTCCCATTTTTCACCATCTTCTCTACTAATTGACCCGTTCATATGACACGACTTCTTACAATCACATGTTTCTAGTTGATCTATTCTTTTCACTGAATCTTCTAACTGTAAATTAAGTATTGTTATGTTAAAAAGGATATATCTCTATTGTGCTTTTGTTCGAGGATATCCCAAGTGACACGAGAAACTTTCTCTAGACAGATTAAGTTGTAAATGTCATGTTTTTATCAGATACAATGACTACAAAAAAGAAGACTAAGTTGCTAGACTTCGAAACACTTGTGGCAATTTGTAGTTCTTATGAAGCAATCATAGGCTCCACAGTAGCCAGAAACTGGATAAAGCTCATATAGCTTACAAAGAAATCCAATTATTAAATCTCTTAAATCCCTAATGTCACGTAAGGCAAGCCTCATATTTACCTTTTGATTAAGCTGAGATAAATTTTGTTGTAATTCCATAATAAAGGATTGTAATTGCAAAAATTGTCCGCATGTTGGACACTGAGAATCCATATGTTCACATTGTAATAAATATCCGTAGGGACCAGGCAGTAAATGAACTTCTTGTAATTCACCCTTGAGAAATGATGTTTTAATTTGGAAAGGAAAGAAGAAAAGCGGCATTAAATTTCATAGTTAATTAATTTTTTTTCTACGAGTCATGTCTCGTATCGTACGACCTTAGCTATAATGATGATATTGAAATACATTTAATGAGTATATTTACCTTAAACAATGAATGGCCATTTAAATTTCGTTGTCCTACAAGTAATTGCATATTGGAAGCACTAAAATTTCTATCGGGTACACTATGCATAACACGTTTATATAAAGGATGGCAATCAATGATTAATTGTATTTCAGTTCCACTTATTGAAACTGCAATTTTGTGCCATTTGTTGTCAGCCAAACGATATGGAAACGATTCCATATGAACCATCAACTCATTCTTAGGACCAATGTATGAATAGTGAAAGCGAATTTCATTTCGTCTTCCACTTGATTGTAATTCTAAGTATCTGTGAATGAAAGGAAGTAATAAGTTGGTATTCACGAAACTTTGATAGTTGAATTAATTTATAGATTAAAGGGTTAGCACCGTGAAATAGTGAATTTTTATTCAAGAATTGATATGCTTATAGAGGTTCCAACTATAGCTTGAAGCATGGAAAGTATTTACATAGCCATATCACTCACTCAATCTTGTTCATGCATAAAATGCTAATTAAAACTTTTAAGCCTTTAATTTGCTATCTAAATAGTTATGCAAATAGCTACTAGTTCATGAGATAACATAACATAGATGCAGCATGTGCTGAATAGAAAATTATCTTCAAATACGACAAGCATGGAACCTCTACAATCAACGAAAAAAAGTACTGCATGAAATTTATAATAACGGCAGAAGGTTAATCTTGATTGATTAAGTATGCAAATATGTCTGCTACTGCCTTTATAGCCTTACCTATTATAGCCACTCGAAAACGAAATAATTGTACCAGGATTTCGTTCATCTTGTTTAAGTATTGCGGCGAATGTAAAATCGGAATTTCTCTTCAATAACTCTACAGCACGTTCATAAGTTTTATACGGTAGTACTAATTTTCTATTGGCGCCTTGCAATCTAAAGGCAATCTTTTTTTGAATTCCTTGCGTAATGCTAACTCCCTCATATTGTGAAAGATTCGTTTGTAGATTTAATCCCTTTAGTAAGTCTATACCGGGATCAAATGAACCACCTAAAGGTTGAAAAATAAATTTTTTTCTTCATTTAATTGCTTTGATTTTATGTCATTTTAATTTTCAATAATGGTCCTTAATTCTGAGAAATCGTTCGAATCCTAAATAAATATTGAGCTAATGTCAAAGGTTATGAAGCCATAACGGTCTACTGGTAAGCTAAGGGTGCAAGTTTGTTTGACTTTCATAAAACAAATTAGCTTTCAAGAGTGCTTAGTTTATGATAATGAATTATATCAAAGTGAACGTCTATGGAACTAAAAGTCCCATAGGCGATGAATTCCACACGGTAAATTCTATTGTGACATTTGATTTATGATGGCATTTAATAAGCTTAGATATGGTAGAACTAAATTAATTAATTTATGATTGTTATTTTCTGTAGCTTAAAGATTTAAGGTTAGATTAAATGAAAAATTGGACATAAACCAACTGTTGGTAGATCCTTGAAAGCCAGTGTGGTGGACGATAAATTAATAAATGTATTTTGGACTCTCGAAAAGTAAAACCTTGATCTTAATTATAGTCGATAAATTGAATTTTCATGTACTCACCTAATACAGCTAAACAGCACATTATTAATAGTGCTAAAATACATCCTAAGGATGTAAATATTTTAGAAATTGCTGATTTCATGGCAGAGCTGTTCGCACAGTTCGCGGCCTTGGCCGGTCGAGCTCAATAATATAATGGCTTTTAACGTACAGCAGCATCACAGATTAAATTCTAACTTTTGATTTCTAAGTTATTTGCATACACATTTTTCCACTTTTCCATTTGTGTGTTTATAAGATTTTGTCCTTCTTCGTAATATTTTTTCTCTATTTATTTTTCTTATTGACAATTTAATAAATAATTGATTGAATTATTTTGATTTACTTTTTTTTTTATTGTGCAACTTAGAAAATAACTGAGAATGTCCAACACACTTTTTTTTATAACTTTAAAATTTTCTCTTTTAATTTTTATTCAATAAAAAAAAAAACTATTTAATGATTGATTCTTTTCATTCAAGTTATACATTTAATTTAATTATTAAACTATTTCACACACTCAGTTTCTTTTGATTATTCATTTCACATCTCCAACAAGCAAGCATCTTACTGTAATGACAAATAATTTCTTAATGAGTCTCGAGTCAAGTGAGTCGACGATAGTTGTAGAAAATAAAATGACGAAAGGATTTTTTTTATATATATTTGTGAATAGAAAATGATTCTTTTTCTTCTTCATCATTATACATATGAATTTCTCGTTTTTCTCCTTAAAATATTCATAAATTTTCTAGTATTATAGTTTAGTATTATTACTAATTCATTCTTTCGAATTAATTACCGTTCTATCAACAATCAATAAATTTTGTATGTCAGCCTTTTTAAACGCGTGATAATTTAAATGCTTCCTAGTATCACATACGAGAACATGTCAATTAATTCGTTAATTAACTAATTAGTTTCACACATCACTTGTTTGAAACGAAAGGAATAGAGAAGAAAAACACACGAATAAAACACACATTCACAAGTCAAAATGAAATTGCTTAATCACTTATCGAGAAAGTGATTGATAACAGTTCAGTGAAGATAATCTTTCGTACTAAAAACTTAGTTCATGCTTAGATATTGAGTCATCACGAAAGCACAATTCACATCTAGACCAATGCGGATGAATTGAAATTATGGATTTTTTGAGTGACCTAAAGCATATGTCGCGTTTATTATCTAACCATATTATGTATATACTCGTGACTTTAATATTCTTTTTTAGTACACGATATGTGTGGACAATTTGTGGAAATTATAATGTGGTATTGTAGCGAAAGGTCATCAATGAGTCCTAAAATAGCAAATATAAATTTTTTTTGCTTTCCCAGAACACTCAATTTTATTTTATATTTGCTTGTCTAAACATTAATAAATGTCACCGTACAGCTATGATAGTTTGCTCACGGATGCTTAAGTTCATGAGGAATGAACTCTTTCGTGTCAATCAATTTTCTTAATTAAACTTCATTTAATTTTCTTGCAATTCTCACACATAAACCTAACCTCGAAAAACATTCAGCTATTTTCCATTGAAATTTCCATTCACTTTCTCTTTCCATAAACTTGTCACATGTATGATTAAATAATTAATTAAATTTTCATTAATAATCTTTGACAATTGTCTCTGGAAAATGTCAAATTAAGCCTCCGAAATTTGATTAAAATCTCATAATACTTTCGAAAATTGAATATGTACTGTGTGTGTTATTTTTTTTTCAAGTTTGTGGAAATATCACAAATATATGTGTATACATATAAAAGGAAAGTTGTTCATTTATGTATGATCCTGCGCAGTGCGATTGCGAAAACGGTGAAAATCCAATATTTTATATTCAACTATTTCCATTCAACTTTAGAATATTCGAATTATTTTCAAAAATAAATGTATTAAACTAACATTTTTGGTATTTATAACTATAAAACTTTAAACCTCAGTCGTAACACTGAAACTTGTAAACTAACTTTGACGAATTAAAAAACACTAGTAACATTAAATCCTTAATTCTTTTCTTTTCAAAAAACGAATATTGCTTTCAATAAAGTTCTATATAAACTGCCCCTGTGTGTGCTGTTTTGTGCTATGCCGAACGGCAGACGATTGTAATTTAAGATATCGATAATCTGACACGGTTTATATGGGGTGCGTTTCACTCTTTCGGGGTTCTATTGATATCAATTCATGCCATGCGATTATGTCTCAAATTTACCGGTCATTTCACTTGTCGTGTAGCTTGTTCAACTCGATCACAAAACTTTTGCACTATTTACGATAATTTTTTTGTTTTGACTTTTGTAGAATTTCTACTTTCTTTTTATTGAAAAATTAATTTTAACACCTCCTTTCCATGAATCCGGCTACGCTTGGTGCTGTAATGAATGAACTAATTTCGAGTAACGTGCTTTACTGTCGTGCATTTAGTGTTTCTATGACAACTCCCCCTCATTTCTTTCTTTTTATTCTATCGTTGATAATATTTTTTCCACACAATTTATGTTGCATATGAAGTTGCATTCTTTACTTTATTACTTTTCCGCTACCACACGTACGTACGTTTGTAATGTTAAATAGTAGTTTTTTATTCATACACTTTGCTTGATTATGGGGAATTTTGTGTGGGTGTATTTAATCAATTACTAGAAAACCATGGAAAATAATTCCTTTTGCTAACGGAATTTCTTTGAAATTTATAAAGGAGTTGATTTAAATCGACTTTTCATGCTGTGACCTTTTTTTTGATATGCAATTTAAATTTGCAGTCGTTTAAAAAAATTCTGATTGCTGATTGAGACATACTGTGGATGATTACGCCATATGGTTATTTAAAAAGAAAGTGGATAGTTCTTCAGAACAGCAGTTATCTTGATGCATGTTGAGGGTTTTATGATTACGTTAGCAGAATGATTCCATAAGCTGAAATTGATTGGGAAATCATCCAAGTGTGGATTGTAATTATAAACAATGCTGTTATCATTTTTAACACCACACATTGATATAACATATAACTTATGTATTATGACAGGTGATGATCCCATTAAAGTAATAACTGTATTAAAGTAGGAGGGGTTGTTTTACATCTATTAAATATTGGTTTCAAAAAAAAAAATTTCATTAGTAGTGCCATAAATTCTTAAACATACCAACAGGAGTCGTTTATTTATTACGTCTATTCAGAAATGAGATTTTCAGGTCCTGCATATTTCCCCTTTTTTCAATTTTTCCCTCCCTCCTTTGAACGTTAGATCTAGAAACCATTTAAAGCTCCAACCATTCTGTGTAGATTCAAACTAAACGTAAAAAGTTCACTAGCTCTTTCATTTCTTTCAAAAAAATTACTAACCTAACATTAGGTTCTTAATAAAGGAAATAAATTTATCAACCAGCCCGACAATATGATATGAATTGACAAAAAATATGACAATAGTAATAAGGCTAATATTGATATTTAAGATTTATAATGTTAACCAGAATGTAAACAATATACTTTAATATCACAAGGCAATATTTTAATATAAGATATTTAATATACATGTATACATTAGAACTATCAATCTGTCTTCAAGTAATTTAATATTGAATGTGAAATGCTCTTTAGATATTAAAAGGGTGTTTAAATTTGACATTTAAGCTGTTATAAAGCATATTTGTAGTGGTTGTAAATGAATATTAAGCTGTCTGCTGGCTGGTGGTGATAAGAAATAATTGTTTGAATTTTTAATTATTTGAACTTAATTGTTTTTTTTATGTAGCAATAATTGACTGTTCATATTTTAATGAAAACCTTCTTGCATACTTCTCAAAAAATTCATTGAACATTTTCTTATTATTTAATAAGATTTGAGGAATTCTACAGACATTTTTCTTATTTTTTAAGTACATTTTTTGCTCTTTTTTTTAAAGAATTTTATCAACAATTTTTCATATTTTAATATAAATAAGTATTTGCACTTTCAAAAGTATTTCCTCACCGACCCTTTTCTTTATAAATCTAATGTTTATTTATTACGCTTACTTTGCATATATCCTTTACTATCCTTTTGGAAATAATGAACGTGTTTATCGAATTTATCGACATATTTTTTCAATGCTAAGGGTTAAAAGTGTCTTACTGTGAGGTTAAGATATCACGAGTAAGAAGCACTTTACAGAAAAACAAGCTTTTAATAACTTTTACTGGGCTGAAAAATAAATCCTTCTGAGAATTATCCTAGTAAATGAATATTTATAACTGTAATTACAGTTTTAAAGATTATGAAAGTATCATTATGCCACCTTTCCCTTAAAATATTAAAATATATTACTTTAAGCTCATATGTTGTACCCATGAGCTTTTTAACCTTCAAGTCATTTGGTTTTGTAACATTATTAAAGGAAATTCTTTATGTGAACAATTTCTTATCCCCCAAAGTTCATGTTTTATTCATCCTTATAACTTGTGTGAAGCTTTTCACTGCCATATTAACCTTCTTATAAGTAAAAATGTTTGTATCAATACCATGAAATTTTTTAGTCTCTATTGGCATGATTTATGAAGGGTTTAAAGGCAAAAGTCTTTATGAATGAGTGCTCAGGGGAATGAAAAACACGAGACTTCAAATTACCGCAATTTTATTCACATTCATTTTTCATAGAGACAAGATGAAAAGCAGCAGAAAATTTGAAGATTCAATTACAATTTGTGCTGATGACATATCATTTTCATTTCCCCGTTGCTTTGATTCAACGGTGACGAGATTGACGAGCTTGTCCGAGTAGCACATGACTCCTCTTGTCATATCAATAATTATTTAATGATTGGGAGATCTGAGATTTCAGTAGGAATCGAACTCGAGTTTTTTTTTTCAAAAGAGTTAATATTTTCTCAGTCTGCTGTTTAGCTCGACTATAGAGGACTTACTCTTGGATTGACAGATTAGCCTATGTATGGTTCGATACTCTAGATTCCGTTTACGTGTCTCAGCACCCATATTGTGTAACTCGGGTTATATCCTTTTATTTTTAATGAATTGACGCTATTAAAATTGATGATGGCATTTCTTCGTCTTCTTTTAACTGATGAACCTGATGTGCTTCAATCATTTCAATGCACACAGAAAAAGGGCGAAAATAACTGCTTCATTGAAAAAGCTGATGAAATGCTTCATTGCTTTTAAATATGAAAAGCTGTAAAAAAAATTCCAATCAGATTGTTGAGAACAAGATGAAAATTAATGGATGAATGATTTGCGTGTGAATGGAAGAAAATACATCAAAACATTTAACGACAATGTTCCTGATAAGAGGGACGATAAGACAAACAGCATGAAATACTGAATAGCTGCATGAAAACATAATGAACAGACTTAATTGCTTGTCAAAAGAGATTGAAATTACAGAAAGAAAATCGAAATCGATTTCAAAGTGAAAATTTTTGAAGCACGCAAAAGTAAACGGCATCCAAGGAGCTTTCCATAGACTGAAGATGAATTATTTTTTAAGTGAAAACATCATTATGCGTAACACGATTTATTTTTAGCAACATTATTAAATTAATGATTATGAGATTTTGTTATTCACAGTTTGTCGGGTTCTATGAAATCACAGACTGTTAACTTTTTATAGAAAAAATTTAATAATTAAATTTATAGACACAAATTTCGTTACTTTTCTTGGAATAATGAATGTTTTTCGCTGATTAAACATGCTTTTCAGAAATTTTTGACGAGTTTCTTTTTCAATAATTTAAATTATTTATGAGAATAATTTTCAAATGTTTCAAAAATTAATAAATTGTTTAAAAAAGGAAGCGCATAAATTTGTTTTTGTTTAAATCTCTAAACTTTGAAAATTATATTTGTATTGAACGATTCTTAGAAATTTTTAAAGTCTAGAACTCAAGCAGACAGTTTGTCAACATCATTAAGCATTGCTCCTTTTTTCTCAAACTCTTCAGACAAATTGGATAAAGCAAAAGTTTTGTATTGGAAAAAATTCTTCGAATATTGAATATTCCTCTTTTGTTCAAATTAAATATGAATTCTGCTAAACTCTTTGTCGATTCTTGGTAAGGAAAAAGTTTTTCAATTTAATTAAATTTTAAAAATTAAATCTTTTTTTAATTTCAATATCTTTTTTCTGAAACTTTATCGTCACTTGCTCTAGAACAGTCTTCATAATGAGTTTCGAATTTCAATTATCCATTAAAAGTAGGAAAAAAGCAACAAAAATAATTTTTCCACAAGGAAGAATCGAGAAGGTGATTTAATCTGAGGTTATCATGTTGGAAAGAAAACATTTTGTAGGTGGACAATGGGAAATTTGTTACAATTGGTATGACCCTTGTTGTTCTACTTACAATAATAAGTTTATTTTTCTGACAGCTCATTTCTTTGGATTTTTATGACATTTCCTCTTACTTAATATTTGTTGTGAATTTAAGAATTTAGAAACTTGTAATTTATTTGGATTAATTGGATATTCTGTACAAGTTATTAAATGAGTTAAAATAGCTAAATGGTTAAATGGCTTAATACTTCAGTACATAATTATTGCAATTCGACATAGCGATCATGAGTTCGAAACTCGGGATGGGAAATTTTCAATTGTTCTTTTTCGAATCACAGATACTGAAAATGAAGCTACATAGCCTTCTTTTGAAGGCTAGCCAAAAGAAATGTCATTTAAAGAGAGTGGTTCATATCCCACTTTAAACTCTAGATCTTAGACGCTGAGCGATATGGTTATGCGACATATCCTCCCACTTTATCTAGAGCTGATCTTGAATAGCCAAAAAAGCATTACTTATTCTAGATTTACCTAAGATGCTGACATACAAGATACTATGGATATAAGGTCACACATAATGTTAGCAATTTTAATTGAAGCTATACAAATCATTATTAAGATATGTACCGAAAATCTTACATCTTCATGCCATTACTTGAAGAAAAATGCGCTCTATCGACAGTAATCTTAAAATTCCATTCCTGAATTATTTTAAATAAATTGTTTTTGTGTATAAATAATGAATTAAGAAGAAAATGAAAAAAGATAGAAGCATATAGCAAAGTGAAATGAGTTAGTGAGTGAAAAACTTATTGTAAATAATTATTCTAACACATTAGTGCACCTACTGTATATTATATGCATTTGGTTATCAACAAATTGTGTTAAGAAATCTAAAGAAAATTACACGCTCTGGAAACATTTCGAATGTGCATTTTCAAATGCAATCATTTGGATTATTCTTCCCCTTCTTATGAACATTACTATTATGCTTATCTCCTCTCTTCTTTTTTTCATTAACGTTCGTTATACATTTGTGCTTAACAAGAAGATTACCCAGGGTATATTTTGATTGCATTTTGAGGTTTTTGCACCAGTTGTATTTAAAGCTTATTGCATATTGCATCAATCATCATCAGTCAGTGCATTGTGTATTAATAAATATTAGAAATAATTATTAAATAAAATTTTTAAAGTTATGGCATCATTCAAAGTTATCTCAAGTATTCTTCTCATAACATTTGTCGCTCATGTCTCATCATCACCTGCTGACAGTGCATTACGTGCAGTGAAAAAAATTTATAATGTATGTGAAAACAGTGATGAACTTTTAAAGTGCATGAAAGTCCAAGCATTAAAACTCACCGAACGTGCCCTTAAGTTGCCAAACATTAAAATTACTGATGGATTATCAATTGTGAGAAAAGACGGTGATGATGTTGATACTGAAAATGCAGGACGTTCTAGTGGATTGGTCGAATTTGACAGTGAAGAAACAATGAATTTGCCATCGGAAAAAATTGATGCCATGCTTGTAAAAGGAATTAATAAATTTATGGATACACATCAAGTTGCTGTTAATGTTCCACGTCTTCTTGCATCAAGTGAAACACCAAGATTAGTTGAAGAAGGACGTAAGAAGATGAAGAAATATTTGGGACCATTTATTGCAGCTATGGCCATTAAAGGAGGTATTTTAACCATGGTTTATCACTCAATTGCCATCGTTGCTGGAAAAGCCTTAATTATTGGTAAAATTGCACTTGTCATCAGTGCCATTATTGGATTGAAGAAATTGGTTACACCAGAAGGACATGAGAAGACAACATACGAGATTGTTAAGCATCCACATGTCCAAAACAGTCACACATATTCCTCATCACATGGAGGAGGAGATTATGATGGACATGAGAACCAATATCACAGAAGCTTAGGTGATGATGTCGATATGCTTATGCAAGACAGAGCTTACCGTGGACATACACACTAAAAAAACTATTTAGGCAATGAATTCATTCTCAACATGATGACAACTTTGATTCAAAGATTAAAAAAAATATTTATTTATTTATTTGCTAGAAAAAAAAATTGCTCTAAATATCTAGTTTGTCTATCGAATGCTCCATATTGAAGATTCGTGTCAAAATTAATGATTGCTCTACTACCTATTTATTATAATATAAAAATAAAATAAATTATTAAAAATACTAAAATCGATACGATAAATTAAAAATGAAGAAAATTAAAAAAGAAAAAAAAAACAAAATTGTTGTTGAGCGTTTATTAATGCTGAGTCACCTTCTTTTCAGCTCCTCTAATAGCGTTATCATTTTACACACCATCGTAGCTTGTCATTGCTGGGTGACCTCGATATGCTAGCTCTTCATCTGTGTGAGGCATTTGGGCTTGCGGGATTGTTGGTGTTATACTTTGAATACTTTCAAGATCAATAAAAGATTTCGGTATTATTTTTTGTGCATAATTTTGATACTTGGGAGACGAATACCTGCGTTGCCATCCTTGTTTTGCAATATCAGCTGAATAAACTACATGCTCAGCTCCTCCACTACCGCCAGACTTTTTTAGGCCACTCTGAGTTATGCGTTGTGAGAAAATCAGGGGAAGAAGATTAAAAAGAATTAAGTATCAGTAAAGTCTGTGCTGGAAAATTTATCGATGCATAAAATGTGGGTTATTGTACGACGTACAGCATACAACATAGATAAATAAGATTGAGATCTTACCAGTGTTGAAAAAAGCAATGCAATCTTGGCAATTAAAAGAGCGGCACCAGACAGGAATGCTACTTTAGATAAAAATAGTTGTATCATCATTGCCATAACAGCCATTCCTTAAATAAGTTTTGAACAAAGTTTAAAGCTCGTATAAGATTAAATAATTTTGCAAAATTATTTCATTAAAATTCACCACTCATCATCATCATATGATTTCCATGCTTCCCGTCCTTCTTCTTTCTTGCTTCTGGCTGATTCGGTTCATTAGAATTCTTGCCAGCATCATTGTTTGCATCCTCATCTGATAATCTTACTTGCACAACGCGTGATTCCATTAAACTTTTCAACTTTTGACTTATCACATCCTCAAACGTACGACTCTGATCCGCTGATGGTTCTAATTCTTTAAATTCTGGATTTTTATTTAAAGATATTTTCATACTAAAGAAATTTGCACTCCATTCATCATTGTTCGTGATAGCTTCATCAATCAATTCGACAATACGATTTTTTAGACACTTTGAAACGTTGCCTTTGTGCAGGCAATGTCCTAGGAATTGTTTAAGATCATCCTTCTCATCTGTCACAGTATTTTTCGTAATAGGCGGTGCTGTTATAGTAGTTGGAGATGCAAGGATGATTGATAAGATTGATGAAACGAGAAGAGCTCTCAATGTAAAACTTTTTAAATCCATTCTGTTCTTGTGCACTACCATATGTCACCTCACTATGAAAACAAAAGTAAAACTATTCAGATTTTGACAAAGATGATGTTGTTTTATACCTGCCGAAATAAAAATTGGTGTTCATATGTCATATGTTGACAAATTGTTTCTTTCTTTTACTAGACTGACATTAAAGGTTGATGTTCTAGTAATCTAAATAATTTGTCACATCCAAATAGTACCGAAAATGCTTATAATAATAATAAATTTATTAAATGAAATATTACAATGTATGAGAAAAAAAACGATTATTAATATTAGCCCTGGTCTGGCTTTAAATTAAATTTTGCTTGACAGATGATAGTGAAATGAGGTTTAATTTCTACAAAATGAAATAATGGCCTAAAAAATTAGAAAAAAACGGCCTATATGTTTAACTTAACAATAAGAAGATATTAAGAATAGAAAAAGAAAGAGGTAGCATAATTTTACTACATAACTGGTTTTGGAAGTCTATGCTTCGCTACGAAAGGTAAAGAATCAGCGTCATAATTTCCGAGATTAGCAATGAGATGATTAGAATGGTGAATTGATTTGGAATAGAAATTGTCAGTAATTTTATCGATATAATCTTTAATTAACGGAACGTTAGCGGAATCGTGGATATCTTTAGTTGGTTTGAAATCATCCCAATGAACGTCTAAAATCATACGCAGAATTTTGTTCTGAAGTAATTGCAGTTTGTTAATATGACACTTCGCAGCATTTGCAAAAACAGGGCAAGCATAAGTCATGATTGGCCGAATGTAGGATTTATAGATTCTTAACTTCGAGTCAAGGGAAACATGAGAATTTCTTTTCAGCAGGCAATAGAGACTAGAGAAACAAGATGCGTTGGCTTTATGAATGCTGTTGTCGATATGATCTTTAAAGAGCAATTTATTATCCAAAATAACTCCAAGATATTTAACTGAAGACTTCCAGTCAAAAGCTATATTGTTATACAGAATTTGATCACTCCGCATTTTTTGAAGCATTTTTCTCGATTTAGTGAATATTGAAAATTCCGTTTTGGATTCATTCAGATAAATTTTCCAGTCACTAAAAAAATTATGAATGGAACGAACAGATTTAAGCAGAAGGTTTTTGAGAGACTTAAGATTCTTCCACGGAGCATCAATTAGTAGAGCTGTATCGTCAGCATAGAGACAAAGATGGCCCCTGTCTGGAATCGGAATGTCATTAATAAACAGATTAAATAAGTGAGGAGCTATTAAAGATCCCTGAGGTACTCCTGAAGAGACAACAAAAATTGACGAATGTTGGAAGTTTAATGAGACAAAGGCTGCACGATCGTTGAGATACGATTGAATTAATTTAATAAGATAAACGGGATAGTTAAATTGCATTAATTTGTGGATCAGACCATCATGCCAAACAGAATCGAAAGCATGTTTTAAATCAAGTAATACAATTCCTGAACTTCTGTTCTTGTTAAATCCAAAAGACACATTTTCAGTAATTCTCATAATTTGATGAGAAGTGGAATGACGAGAACGAAATCCAAACTGTTGTTGAATGATGATTTGGTGTTCTTCCTCAAAATCATTAAGTCTCCAAAGAATAATTTTTTCGTAACATTTTCCTAAACATGACAGCAGAGAAATTGGTCTGAAACTGCTTGGGTCGCTACAGATGTTGGCTTTTTTAGGAATTGGAAGAATTTTAGCTAATTTCCACGATTTTGGAAAATAAGAGAGCTTTAGACAAGCATTGAGCAATTTTGTAAGAAATGATATGAAGATACTGGATTTGCTCAAAATGCTCAAAGCACAGTTTGGAATATTGTCAGCACCACTTGCCTTCTTTGGATTTAAATGACTGAGAGATCTCTCAACTTCATCTGTAGAGATTAATTCGAAATAAAAGTCAGACTGATTTGAGAGAGACTGAATGGATTCATTGACAATTGACTCAAACTTGGATGAATGAGCTTGAGACGCAGAATAGGAAATTTGAAATGTCCGAGCAAAAGCTTCAGCCTTGTCCTTATCTGAATAAAATACTTCACTGTTGACTTTAAGCGGCGGGATGCAAAGACGCTTTCTTTTGAGACCTTTCGTGAAAGCATAAAGCGAATTATCAGCAAATGACAACGATTTTAGTTTCTCCTCAAATGCACGAGATTTATCTTTGAAAATTTGCTGTTTAATTAGACGATTTAGCTGATTAACACATGATTTGTATGCAGGATCCAACGTCCGTTTGTAATAATTACGAAAATGATTTCGATGCTTGATCAAGTTGCTCACTTCTTCTGAGTAACGATAGCGAAGCGAGTGGCGTTTCAATTTCGGGACAGAGTTTAAAAGTGAGTCATTAATAATGGAAGTTAAAGAATCGACAGATTGATCAATGGATGGGATACATGAGAATTCAGAATTCATTAAGTGAAGGCAATTTGATTCGACTAAACGGGAGAACTTTTTCCAGTTGGCTCTTCGATAGTTGAATTGATTGCATGAGTCATTAATAGGCAAATCTACGCAAATAGAGAATAGTATGGGCAAATGATCTGATGAAAGATCATTGAGAACATTCAATTGACTAATTTGATTAAAATCTTTGGATACAACGAAATCAAGACATGCTGGGTCACCAATGTATGGAATATGTGTTGCGTCAGAAGGACTGTGAATTGAGAACCTAAACTGGTCTAAGAGATTGTGTAAATCAGTACCTTTACGATCATTTTTGGTATTGTTCCACGCAAAATGCTTGCAATTAAAATCACCAGCTATAATATGAGGGCCAGCTTTGCTTAAAATCCTTTCGAAAAAATCTTTGGATTGTGAACGTGACGCAGAAGGGGAACAATAAATACTAGAAATTTTCAGAATTTGATTGTCTAGAAAGAGTGAAATTGTGGAAGACTCGGCGTAATTTAAATGAATTTTTTCAAAGCTAGCATGAGGAATAGAGGATTTAATAAAAATTGCAGTACCTCCACGAACTCTATCAGTTCTATAAGATGAAAAATTTGGAATATTAAAATTATCGTTCTCAGATAACCACGATTCGCTAATAAAAATTAAATCTATGGAAAATTTGTCAATTAAAAGAGAAAGTTCAGTGAACTTATTTCTCAACGAATGAGAGTTCCAAGAAAGAGCTTTAATCCCCATGTTGAGGATTAAAGTTTGGGTGAGAATACTTCATGAGAATCGAAAGACGCGACTCGTGATCGTCAAACATACTAAGCTCATTGACCATAGCCACGAAAAGATCTATTGATTTGTCAATGAGAGGCAAAGAACGTAACTTGTTCTGAGCAGCAGAAAGTTTAGCAAATAAATTAGCTGAATTGCTACTTACAACATTTGATTCTTTAATTTTCTGAGCGAAACTTACTTGAGTATTAATGTTATGACCAGCCAAAGAAGGTGAATGTGAAAGTTGAGGAAAATCTGATGATGTAAGCTGATGTTTACGAACTACAGGAATACTTCGACGGACAGGAAATCTTTCGATGTGCTTCTTGTAAGCTTCACATCCACGATGATTTGCGCTGTGATTGCCACCACAGTTGCAACACATTGCATCGCCTTCACGAGTCATCCGTGGACATTCTCCTTTTGGATGGTTATCAATGCACTTGACACAACGAGGAGGCAAACCACAATTAATTGAAGTGTGTCCCCACTTCTGACAATTGTAGCATTGAGTGACTTTACTACTTGATTTCTTCAGGTTCTCCCACTTGACAGAGATACAGTCAATGAATTTGTGCTCGTGATTCAGTTGATTCATGCTGATCAGATGTTGAAAATGCACTAAATACATTACATATTCTTCCTTACGAATCAGATCAGTTACTTTAATAGCACCAACACCAGCTTCCTTCAATAAATTCAGCAGTTCTTGACATGAAGTATGATAAAAACCTTTCAGCACAAAACATCGAGGTTTTTCCGACGGATCCGTGAACGTATGATAGCCCAGCTTTTGATCTTGGAGCTTAGCAATTAGCTTTTTCTTGTCTGCTAAGTTAAGGCATGAAACTTGGATCGATTGAGAGCTACGGACTTTGCAAATTGGCCGACATGATAGCTGAGCAGCGTTAACAACATTCTTGACAACCTGAATGTTTGAATTGATGAATATTGGCTTGACTTGCTTGCCGTCATTAACTTGAAGTTGCTCAGCAGCAGTTGGGGAACGAGATGAAGCAGGAGATGACTGAACTGACTGTTGATCTTGAGTCGATACAGGAACTTGAGTGTTTTTCTTGGTTTTCTTGATAATTGAATTACTCGGCGACGGAGAACTTGACTTTTTGCGCTTATTTTTACTCATTTTCAGTCAGAACCGAAAGAGCACTTACAAGACACTACTCACTAATAATTTAATTCAAGTAAAAGGATCAAAATCCACTTAAAAAACAATAATTGAAGAATGTGATAAAATATTTATTGTTTACTTTAAAGCGGGGCCTTGAAAACTGAAAATGCTTAAACATATGCGATTGCGGGCAAAAAAGGTAAAAGTTTTTTTTTCTCTTCTTTTACTTTCTTCTTCTTTTCTGAAGTACTTATGTCTTCAATATTGTCATCATTGCTTCTCATAAACATGATGATGACTTTAATTATGGGACATGGAGTCAACAGACGTGAAAATATAGGTGGAGATATGCACAAAAATTTATTCATTTATTTTTTTGGCTTAGTTCTTTGTTTTATGATTGTAGTTTTTGATTATGTTGATGGTTTTTCTGTCTGGCAGGGGTTTTGTTGAGATATTGGGTAATAAATTGCATGTGGAGCCAAGAATGTTGGTTGGTCAATAAAAGAAAATAAAAAAAAATCATGAAATGTATTCTTGTTTTAGAGATTTTTGCCTTTTTTGGAGTGCAAATCTTCGTTTATATGAAGCTGTTCCTGAGTATAGTTATATGATTTTTATAAATCCAGCTTGATTAGTTAATGGGAAGGGAAGTTTATGTCTAGAATTATATCTACACAATATCAAGCCAAAGTATTTATCGGAACCTGAATTCGACTTAATTAAAATTGACTAAAGTTTATTCGAGTCGAATCAAGTTGGTTTGATTCTTTAGTGTCGTTTAGAGCTTCAAAGTTCTTAAAATCACGTTTCTAGACAACAAACTAATTTGTTTAATCTTTGGTAATTTGTTAATTTTACACAACTCCTGAACTTTCAATAAAATCGACGCTACTCTTCCCTTCATCTCTCAATGCCTCTTTAACTCATTTATAGCTTTAAAGTCGCGTACTCAAAGAAGCTTTTCGAAAAAACAAGGGAGAACATCTTCTTTAACATTGTCATGGGAATAAAATTTTAATGATACGAAAGAAAATTTCATACTTTTTCTTGAATCTATGATGACTTACTGTGCCAAAAGCAATAATCAGTGGAAAAGAAAACATACACGAGAGTTAAATCAACGTAATATGCGAAAATGATTGTATGCTATGGAATCATTTAAACGAGCAATTAAATCGTACCTAAAGATAATCAAGAACAAAGTGAAATTCACGTTTCTTTTCCCCCTTCTGAATGCTAAATGTTTATTTTCTTTTTTTTATTCATGAATTTTCAATTAACTTTATTTTTCATAGTCCAATTAAGAGCGTTTTTTTAGAAGAAAAAGTGAATAGTAGAAAAGAAAAAGTTTTTCAATCTCAAAAAGTTCTCCATGAAAACAACTTAACGTAAAAATGGAAGAGAAAAGTTTAATGCAAAAAAGATGGTTGAATGAGTTTTCAATAAGATTATTTATTGGTGTTCTTGGTTTAATTTCTTTATAATTTGATTAGTATTCACACAATTGTTAGTAAAATTGAATTAAATGCACATTTGAAGTTGGAAAATTTTCACATTTACACTTAGTTTTTGGAGGGATGTTTGAGGTTTCTGGGAGTTGTTGCTTATTTTGATCGAAGTCTTCTTGTTTATAAACAGAATGAGTTTAAATTTTGTTTTGAAATCATCAATCAATCTTTATAATTTCCCAGTTGACTTTCCCTGATTTCCTCAATATCTAAAATTGGATCAATTTCTGGATTTTATTTGACCTTATAATTTATTTATATTACAATTAAAATATAAAATCTTGGGAATTAAATTAAATTTTTTATTTACTCATCAAAGAAAGTTCATTCAACAATCCACAAGAGACAATAAGTTCCAGAAACCTCAAATACAGCAATTTCAATTCGAATTAGAACTCGTGTGCCAAACAAAATTTCTTTGGTTAGATCTCGATTTTGTGTGCTTGTCATGGTCAACTTCACGTTCATATAATCTTGCTGTTCTATCTTTTAACAGCAGTTTTGTTTCATAGTCATAAAAACTGTCTTCTGGACGTTCGTCCCTCGGTGTATTGTGTTCTACAATTTTATATGGAGAAGCAAACTGTTGTTGATGATGGACTGTGTCAGCATATACAGGTCGATATCCATAGCTGTGTGCATATTCATGTCCTCCCAATCCACCACCGAGAGCATATAATCCACCAGCTCCAAATAAACCGGATATAAACAAAGCAAGTTTTGACAGGAATGCTGCCTTTTTACTTATTAAGATAATTGCTCCCAAAATTAGTGGCAACAATGTTGCTAAATTGAATTTAAGTCCCAAAAGAAAAGGAAGAACAAACTTTCTCGTCACCACGCGAGCTAGAATTGTAAACAGACAGAAATAAAATGTTTCTTTATTGCGTAGGCTTAAAATATTTATGAGATTTGTAGAATGGAAGAATAATATCAGGATTAAGATACCTTAGGCAAGCTAATATTTCTTTGTAGCTTTAATATTAGATTCATTCATAAAAAAAGTTAACAATTGTGTTTGCTTTTTGTATCTTTTATTCTCAAGAGTTTAATAATATATAAATTTCAGCTGCGATAATGTTGATTTATTCTGGAATATTTTATTCGATGAAACTTGATCAACAAAAAGTCTTTGGGGGATTTTTTGATGTAAATTTATTTGTTTGATTAGCAAATTCAATTGTTTTTATTAAAATTTGGCATCTGATTATACTTTAAAGACTTTTGAAATTTCAATTTAAATATTTCTGCAAAATGTTTTCAAATCATCTAGAAACTTTATCCTATGAATATTTACATAACCTAATCGAAAGAATTTTTATAAAAGTTTTCCCAAGTCTCAACTTTAAAGTTTAATGAAAATGCAAATGCAGGAAAAGTTTTGCATTCTTGACTATTCTATTTAATTTCCCTGAGTTCTTTTGCACATTTTATTTGAGTTAACTGACTTTTGTCGGATTAATACCTTTATAAGAATAACGAAACTTGATATTGTAGACATGTGCTCTCCTACGTGACGAATCTTATTTAATAAAATAAGTGTTAATGCATGTGAATGTCTAAATTTATCCTAAATGTACGCAAATGTAATCCAAAATAAAATCAGACATGGAAAAAAATACATCTCGAGAGATTCTTTGAAGGCATGAGCATTGGTCGAATTAAGCTCTAATCTTTTTCACAAGAAAGTAATGAATTAAGCATGTAAAAACACAATGCTTTATAAAAAATTCATAAATAATGAACGAAAAGCACAAAAAGCATTTTAGCTTTAATAATGAATGGCATGAGCGTTTGCCATGTGCGTACTAGATTTTTTTAAATACAAAAAGCTTTATTGCATTTTTTTTTTCTCAGTGGCTTTCAAAGACTATAAAGAAATGTCATGCAACAATTACTGGCAAAAAAATGAGTATTATGTAAGGTTGATTATCAGACTCATTGTCAACTGGCTTAACTGAATCTTTGAGCTGTGAATTTTCTCTGAATTTCCGTAATAATTAAGTCATTATTAAAAATGTTTTATTACCTGTTGACTCTTCATGGACCAGATGTGATCTCTCATCATATTGACTTTCCGGATCTACAATGAACTCAAGCATACCACCATTCATTGTTGGTCCTATTCGTAGCTGTAGTCCCGGATAAAGTCGTCCCATATTGTACTGCAGTGACCTATGGCTGACAGCAAGTCCTGCATTCTCAAGCAATGTCCTAAAAATATAAATTGAATTGTGATTTATTAATAATATCCTTTTGGCATCCTTGTAGAAAGGTCAACAATATAAATCAATTAGGAGCATATAATATTGACCGAAATTTGTGTCTACATGCGTCAGGATCCAAACTTTCTCAACAGAGTTAATCGAGAAAAAAAAAGAGTAAGGAACATGTGTTTGTTCTTCATCAATCTTCTTGGGGATTAAAGGCTTAAAGTTATACTAAAAGTTTTCCGTATGAAATAAGAAGCGTTTGTAGAAGTTGTTGCATATTTGTATGTAGTCTTGAATGCTATCATCTGATGACTAGTGATAGATTGGGAATTGATAAAGGTTAATAAAGATAGCAACTAATTTTGAATTTCTTTTAAAAAATGTTAGAGCTTATGAGATATGTGAGAAGTTTGTGATGTATCAAAATTTTTATGCTGAAACTTTTTCGTTTAAATTTTCAATGTAAAATCTTTACTTTTAAGAGTTTTGTGATCAAGGCATTAAATGTGACATTTTGATAAGCTTACATTTGGATAATTAATTCTTAAGCAACAATAAGCAATATTTTGCAACTGTTTGTTGTTCATAACCTTTTGCCTGTCTAATTGTTAATATATAAAGGTCTATATCTTGAGATACTGTCCAGAAAAATTACAAAAATTAACAAATTAAAAACTCTTATATAATTATTCCATTTTTAGGGTATTTTACAGTGACTAATTTTTAATCTGTTTCTTTTATCATTTAAACTCGAATCCTAATTCGTTATTTCCATAATCCTTGATTTGGAAAGTTAACGCTTGATCCTATGTGACATATTCATCTAGATCAGTGATGGCCAACCCATGTGCAGCAACACACTAGTGTGAAATGAAAACATTTGGAATATTTAACAAACCGTTTGGTGTGTGCGGTTTTGGTCATGGCTTATCACTAAGTGAACCGTGGCGTAATAAAGTTTGGACACCACTGATTCTGGATACATGCTTGTTGAGTTTAAAATGGGCTTAAAATGGAAGTAATTATTTGCTCTTTAATTATTATTAATGAAACCTTTGTCAACAAATGCAAAAGGTCTGCAACTGCTCAACAATATTCTTCAATTTCAAAGAAGGAAATTCTTTACTTAACAATGATTCAAGCTATGTAAATTACAAATGTTTATTTTTTAATGCATAATAAATCCGGTAAATTTCAAAAGGCATCTAATCAGCATGCCAAATTCATCATAAAAGATGAGCAAGGTTCATTTTCCACGAGTGAAATCCTTTTCAATGATAAATCTTACAATAAAAAAATAAGAAATTTATGAAGAATTCAACAAATGATTTTTTATGCATGAATGGCACACATGCTTCCTTTGGTATGCAAAAAATCTGACAGAGAAGATTACATATTGAATATTTTCAAAAGCTTTTATCACGGCTACAAACCTTATATCACTTGGATCTTGCTCTAAGAAGTTTATCGGATTACTCCGTCCCATGACGCTATCGTCTCGTGACAACACTAAACCATTTGTTATGGTAAAGTTCTCCATGTTATTAAACGTTTCTAATGTTTCCAACATTTGCTGTCCAGCACATTTAACTATATTTGCTTTATCATTTTGCTTCAGGCAATAACCAAACGTATCGAATTTAAACGCTTGCTTTTCACAATAAACTGTATTCAACAAAAGGATAACGATTAAATTGAATGCAACTGATTGTGCTAACATTTTGAAATTGTTCTTTTGAATATCGTACACTTTAGAACTCTATTAACATTTGATTGAAGAATATTCACTAAAGAAAGTAAAAACTTTATTCGAGATTCATAATTTGCGAGCATGATACACTATAGACACGAGATTTAAACAGTAGACTGAAGTGCTCTAAGGGTGAAACTGTGAAATATATATTGTTGTGGCATGACTTCATGATCCATCTGACTGCACATATTAACATTTTTCCCAAACTCAATTGAATTCAATTGTTGTATTATGAAACACACGCCGACTGCCTCACATTTATGTTACTAGATTTGTAGTGTTAAGCATGGTGATGTGGACTTTGTGGTGATGGACATCTGACTAATGAAGCAATTGTATTTTTAGCATATAACACATGTGCTTGGTTAATGCTGTCTGTCATGTTAAACATTCAAAAAGTCAAATTCTATATAGAGCTCAACAAGATCTGAGTGACAGACAAACAACCGAAATTATAAAATTGACCTTTTTTTCTTGAGAAACACAGCGAAAAAAAAATAATTTGATTAAATCTGAACGTTGAAAAGAAAGAATTGCGAAGAAGTAGAAACTTTCACTCTTTACTGCCTTTTTCTTTATTTCTTTTGCGAATTTATGTGAATTTTCTTACAATAAGAAATATTACGAATAAAAAGTAAAGTAAGATTGCTGATAAAGAGTAATTTAATTTCACGGTCACATGAGAAGCTGTCGAGTGATGTTGGAGAAAAGAGAGGATGTTGAAGAGAGAACATAAACTTCCGCAAATTTTCCCAGATCTAAAGTTTATCATTTAAAACATTAACATATTTATTTTCGCTAATTAATGCGTCACGGAAGATGAGATTATGATGTCATTTCACTTTGGAATTAATCAGCGTTCACTTTCTTTATTTCTTTTTTTTTCTCTTCGTCTTTGTGTCTTCGTCGGTTGGAAAAATAATAAGTTGTAAATAATAGAATTAAAATGAAAGGAATTTTTTCCATTGACTCATAATTATTATTGTCATTACATAATTTTTAGTCTGAAAAACAAACAACGCAATTGCTTTGGAGGAAGGATGGTCTGTTATCTAAATATTGTGTTGCGTCAAGTTATTATTAAATTACATGTCTAGGATTTAATGAAGGGTTTATTTGAAATATTAGGCTAACTGTTTGTGACTGTAAATATCTGCAAATAACTTTCAATGAAAATAATTTTGTTCATAAAAATAAAAATTTGATAAGGGGTCGTTCACTTATGACGTCCATCAAAAAACCTAATTTTTAGACCCCCCTCCCCCCTCTGTCACAAAAATTCTACAGAAAAAAACTTCCATTGTTTGAACTGTCACAAAATCCTAGACCCCCCCCTAAATGTCGGATGTCATAAGTGAACGGCTTCTAAGTCAATAAATGTTTTCTTACTTTTACTCATGAGACTATTCATAAATGACGATTGACATTGAAGGTAATAGAACTGGAGTTTTATGATGGTTCAAACAAAATAAATTTTTCTTCACACCAATTTTGTGACAATTTTGTTCAAAATCTCGTTTTTAAGGATCGTAATTTATAAATGGGTCTCAAAGTTACGTCTCTCTTATGAACGATTTTTGATATTTTTATAAAAATTGTCAATTTCAAATATTTTAAAGGACCATTTTCCAAAATATCAAATTCATTCATTGAACATCTAGACAAAATTTTACGAAAAAGTTTTTTAATTCGATATGATTCAAAGAATTTTCTACTTTTTATCATTCCGTATAAACGAGAAAATGCTTCAAAATTCGATAAATATAAAAACTTTGACAAATACGCCCAATCAGAGCTGAATCTTTCTTGAAAACTTTTAAACATCTCAATTGATTTATTATTATAAACTTTTTCTACTTCGTAGTAAGGAATTTACAACTTCAACTTCACAGCCTACAACATAATTCTATTGAACTTCTTTGATCTTGCATAAATTCTGAAATAAATTGTGTCAGAAGTGTATTGACCTTCCTATCTCAATAATCCTGCTTTTGTAAGCATTATTTTTTCGCTTAGTTGTTTAATGCTATTTCCATAAATACATACAGAGGATATTTAAATGTACAGACAAAACTTTGATAGAAAGAGTTTCTTAAATGATTAAACTTATTAAAGAGCTTTACTTGAATTGAGTCAAATCCTTATTGTACGTTAAACATAGCTAGTTAAACTCGTAATCGCATCATGTACAACAATAGATTTCAAAGGTTTTCTCCTTTTAATAATATTTGAATGGAATACGCAGACTTTTCATTTTTAATGGATTATGCGACAGTACTTGAACTTTGTCTGATGTGGATGTGACGTTATAATAAACGTGAACTAAGAGTTTTTTTTTTGAATGACTATTATGCTCTATTATTCATTAAGCTCTATCACATTTCATTGAATCAGCGACTTCATTAGAAACTTTTTAATTTGATTTCGTCTTGAGACTGTTGAATGAAAAAGGACAACGAATCACTTTAAGTTTATTTGCTTAAGGAACGTGTTTAATAAATTTTAAAAACGTTTGAATATTTACATTGTTGGAATTACGTTTTATATTTCCTAAAGTCAAAGAAAAGTCCATCGTGAATTGTTTTCAATTTTCTCAAAAGTTTGAAATGCTTTAAAATTTGTCTTTTGAGGTTGTTTCAAACCTTGCAATGCATTGCTAAATCCCAATTTACAAATATCAGAACTTTAGAGGATCTTTGGTTTGAATTGCATTTGAAAAAAAAATTCTTTTAAAACAATAAAAAAATGGGTTTGAATACTGTATAAAACAAACTTGAACAAGTTGAAATTTTTAACAGTGGGCGGTTCAACAATGAATTTAATTTATGCTCACGGCTATTAACATATTATCATTAATTTCACCAAAATGAGAAGAATATGTATTTTGTTTTATCAGAAGAGTTTGATGTACTTCAATTTTTATAAGGAAATTTTAATTTCCTTTAGCAAAGGTTGTATATAGGCTCAATTTTTGTTGCTATAATATTTATGTACTTGTTTCTAAAAAGACTTCCTGTTTGTTTATTGATTCATTGAGGATTAAAGCTAATCCATATACATATCACATTTCTCAAAAATAATATTTTTTTAGCAAACAGATTAAATTCTATAGTCAGCAGAGCAAACAATTTAGGTGAATTTACAAGCATCCAAAAAGTTTTACAAGATTAAAAACTTTTCAAAATGATTTAAATATCTAAAATTGTGCTATTCTAGGCTGGTTTCCATAATTTACTTATTTTGAAGAATAACAAACTAAGTTATAGAGTTTAAAACAACAAAACTTGAACAAATTATTGAACTATAACTTATGTTTACCCCAGAGACTGTGGGAGTTTATTTACCGCCAGCTACATCAATTAAGACAAAGACTTACGTGCTTTTCAGCAAATATCTTAAACCAGCATCACATTTCACTCGCATACCAATATTTATTGAAGTTTATAGTTACATCAAACGTGCTGTGAAAATAAAAAGTCATGACACCGCAAAGCTACTGCATCTATTTTTTAAAAACGTGTTAAAGCACGTTTTTAGAAGAAAAGTAAATATTAAGAAATAACTGAAAAGCAACTTCAGTTTAATTTTCCTCCCATGAATGCCCAAGAAGAATAAAATTGATTAAAAGAGGAAGTCAATAATAAGAAAGTGAGACGTTAAAAATTAAATTGAGCTTGATGTGACAAATTGTCTTACTTATTAATTTTTTTTTTTCTACGTCTTCTCGATGCTTTTCAGGTCACATACCTGAATAGCTGTCATTAATTGCAATCTAAATCATGTTACGGATGTATCTATTCTAGAGAAATTGCGTATAAGCTGAGATTTCCGGATTTATGTATGTTCAACATGTCGATATTAGCGACATCAATTGTGTTGGATGTAAACATGCAGCACATGTGATAAATACACAAAACAGATCATTTAATATGATATTAAATAAGTAGAGTGAGTAAGTAACGTGTATGACATGAAACAAAAAAAGAAATGAAAGAAAAAAAAAACTTTCACCAGGTTACACCCAATGCCAATATTGACCAAAATGGTTTCACTATTACTGCTTTCATTTAGCTGCGAAAGAAAACGGTAAAAATGACCATCGATGAGAAAAATCATGAATAAATTTTTTTTCAACCTCTCGCGGATAAAAAAAAAACAATTGCGTATTCTACGCGTTCACTTACGTATTTATTGTCAGGCCGCAGCATTAAAATTGCTTTTTATTTTGGAAATATTGTTTTCGCTTTCTGTGTACTATATTTTCCCTCTCAATAATTAATATTCACAATACGGATGCGGACACACAAGGTATTTCATTTTTTTTTGTGAAATCAACGCCTGAAAAGAATTTAATGCGGATGTAATAATAATTTCCATTATATCACACATGAAAGGTAAAAAAGTTTTTGGGATTTTTTTTTTAATTTTTTCATAAAAATTCCTGCTTTATTGCATATTTTTTTAAACAAAAACAAATTTTTAATATCAACTTTTTTTTTATATGAATTTCGTCGGTTCTTATAAATCAAATCAACAGGTTGTATCTGTATAACTTTTGTTTTAACATTTCTTTTTTTTTATTATTGTTTTGGAAAGAACAAGTAGCTCAGTTGAGTAGAGTCATATAAGTTAAGAACGCAAGCATTAAAGTTAAGAAGAAGCTCAGATGAAAGGAAAGTGAATTAAGGAAGGCAATAAAGAATTTAGATGAATGAAAGACAGAGTAAGTGAGTGAGATGGAGATAGAAAATGAAATAAAGAAGTAATTGGTTTTATAACGTGATTCAAGATATAAAAATGTAGAGCATTAAAAGACAGAGAATGAGAAGAAGGAGAGTGAAGAGTAAATACCTGATCTGTGTACTAATTACATATATATGCAATGTACATAAAGGGGAAAGATATAAAGAAAATAAGTCCGACGCACGACACACAAAGTGTGTGACTTAAATCGAGTCACTTATTTTCTCATATTTGTTATAATGTTTGAAAATAATAATATAAATAATGTAAAGACAAGAGCAGATAAATAAGCATAAGAAGTAAAGAAGATAAAAAAAGCATAAAAAAAATAATAAAGAATACTGGATGTGATCAACTGACCTAATATATGATTGAGAATGTGGATATATGTATATAAATAATGTTGATGCTCGCCTGTACCGTTAAGAAAGCAAGTTTCACTTCTTCGAAATTACCTCCTTAATTCTGATCGACATTCAATGCGTTTTACTCATGCGTTTGATTTCTTCAATATGCTCAATCAATAACAATAAAAATAAATTAAGTTGCGAGTTTTAAAAAGAATGAGAGAAAGAATAAGAGAAATTAAAATTAAATAATTAAATTATTTAGAGAGCTTACAATAAAATTAACAGTCATAGAACTAATAAAAACTAAAGTTGTATGTTCTTTTTTGGGATTAGATTTAAAGTTTTTTGGTCAGACAATGCGTTCGTGTATGTACGGTTTATATGCATAAAAGTTTAACAACAAAAAATAGTTTTTTGGTCGGTAATTAAGACTTAACAGAGAAATGGAAACATTATTAGAAAGTATGACAAGAATGACATAGTAAGTGGAAGAGATGTGAATTCTCTTACAAAAGTCTCATTAAGTATGTAAAAAGTCTTAAATAATTAGATAGCAGAACAGTTTGTTGAGCTTGAAAAAAATTTCCTTATACATTTTAATGACAAAATTGTCGTTATCTACGTGCATGATAGTAGTTTGGAAGATGTTAGAAAAACATGAAATAAGTAGGAACATCTCGAAGATGTTTATGTGTGTATGTATGTCTAATGTTCTATGTGCTTTGTTTCTCATTTCAATAAATAATTTATCCTCATTTTAAATAAATTAAAATAAATAGTTGTCTTTTTTTTCGCTTGAATGGCATTTCTCTCTTGGGAATTATTTTTGAACCAATTAGCTGTGAACGGTTGTTGTTCACATTATCTGTTGACTCGAAAATAATTCCAATAAATCTTTTTTTAATTGTTGTTTGCGAAATAAAGCTTATTATTGTTGTGCATTATATGCTAATTTTTGAGCATCAATTGATCGTCTGAATGCACCACCATGGGCACTATGCTCATCGTATGACGAGAATGAATGGTGTGGATGAGCAACGACTTCGTAGCTTGACGAGTGCTTTCCTTCGAGTAATTTCTTCAATCCAATAATTGCTGAGATGATGAGTGCCAATTTACCAATGACCAATGCCTTGAGTGAGATCAATGCCAAGACTCCGATAGCTAATGGAAGGAGGGCTGCAGCCTTAAGTTTCATCAACATGAGGAGTGGCAACAAGTACTTCTTGCCCTTCTTGGTCTTGCCACGAGCTATAAGTAGTGAAAATTAAGTAAAATTTTCCGTTTCATTGCACTGCTATTAATAGGTTTAGATGTAATTTGTTGCCCAAACTTACCTTCTTCTAATGAACGTTGAACGTCTTTGATTGATTCCTTTGAGACTTTGAATTGGAGGGTGTGTGATCCGAGGAAACGTGCGACACGATCAACCAATAATGAATCAACTTCTTGCTCACGAGTGTCTGGGTCGTCAGATAATTCAACATCATTCAATGATCGTCCTTGTTCTGGCTGCGGCTCATCTTCAGTCTGCACAAGTTTAATTCCTTCACTAAGCTCAAAATCACCCTTTGTTTTCTCGAATAATTGAATGGCGCGCTCCTGAATGAATAGACAAAAATCAGATTTAAAATTTCACAAGCCACTTATCACTTTAGCTATGTCAACTGCTAATACACTGAACTAATTTAAACAGACATGCAGCAATTGACGGTAAATTATCCATAAAAAATTTAATTCGTTTCACTGTTTTGTTCGCACTTAAATTTTTTTCACAAGCTAATTTTTTTGTCTTATTTTTTTCTCGTCTCGTTATCTCACCTTAACGCATAATGTGATTGACTTGTCATTACAATCTTTAACGAATTTCAATGCGCCTGTAATTAATCCATCGGTATCAGAAGCGGCAACAGCACCGATCAACAAAATTAAGAAACAGAAAGGCTTCATTTTTTTTAAGGAAAAAACTTTTTTTTTTCACTGATAATTATTATTTTTTTTTTCGTAGCTAACTTCTTGTCGGCTTGTAAGAATCTGCTGAACTGTGACTTGCAGACTGTTGGCGCTCGAGTTTTATCCAAGAGTTTCCAAGCAAGTAAAATTAATATCTCTTCATTGAAGAAAAGTAAAAAGAGACTTGTGTGGTGGTTTCTTTTAACAATATAATAAAATAATAACATATATACAGACTTTGTTTTTAAGTATATGTAGATATATCGACAGTGCTGTTGGGAAAAACAAATGTATACATTTTCACTACTTGCTGGCACTGATATCTCACTTTACTTTATTTCTTGTTCTTTCTTCTTCTATAATTTCATACACATCTCATTTCCAATGCATTGAAAAAGAAAGAAGGAATGATATCGTACATACATTCATTTATCGATACGTGAGATAGTTTTTTTTTGTTATTTGCACTATGTGTGTAAGTAAAAATTGTAATTTACACACATAAATGGATGGCATTATGTTAATACTTCTCCACCAAATCTCTTCTTCGTGATGTATTGAACATAATAAATCATTGAACATAATATGTCCATATGTATGAGCGCGAAAGATTTGATATCAATTACTAAATACTCCCATTCAATGTCATTGTCGTTGTTTATTGAATTTCATATTATTTTTTTTTCAAAAGACACATTTGCTTTACATCTGTAGAAGTGATAAACTTTTCTTACGACAACGACGACGATGAATGAAAGAAGGAGAAATTTAATTTCTTACTTTATAATTTGAAAAAATAAAAAACAATCGAAGCGTCAATACCTATATGGCTGCTAATTTGATATGATCATATTAATTGTTTTATGGGAATAAAAAAAAAGTTTCAAGTTGCAAAGTCATTGCATGCTGGTTGCAGTAAAGCAATTATTCACTTAATAATAATCTTGATGGCTTTTTTGTCACTCGTTTGCTAGTGCAACTGCAGTTAATCATGAGTATTTACTTTGAAAAATTTCTAATTTGTGTGATTTAGAAATTAGTCATTTATCCAATGCATCTATCATGTCAAATGAAGTAGCAATTGTAATTAATATTACTTGTGGTTCTTTGAAGACCACAAATTGAATTCATATGCTGATAAACAGATTACATTGATGTACTGGATAATAATTATTAACCGCACGTTATTAACATATTGACATGATTTGCTATAGACTTCCGTGAATAAATGGATTGGAAATGTTGGGAACTACTTTGTAGCTTTAAATTAACGCACTAGAACTCTCAGTGGTCTCTGAAATTGGTGTAAATTAATGACTGTTGTAATGATTTTGTGGTTTGTCCGATGATAAAAAATTTTGGCAGCAAATCAAGTTCAATTTTAGTATCAATGAGTTCCTCTGTGATCGAGACTTGTGGAATTTTTACGCATGAAGAATCTTTGGTTTTGAGGAATTGCTAATGTAAATAAATTGATTGTCTGTAGCAAGATTAGATCCTCATGACTATTTGGCTTAGTTGTTTCAACAACTTGTTTGATAATTTTGTTCAAGCTGATAAGGTCCCGAATGTGGAATCTCATGACTATCTTCTAATCAGTACTAATAAACATGGAACCCACGTAAAGCCTCAATTTCTGGATCTATGATTTTAGCGAGATTACAGGTATTTTCAACATAGGCACATAAACTTTGATGTTAATGATTTGGCGATGCTCAACAAAAGACAGCATAATTAATTAATAAATTCTATGAAAGAGCAATATCATGTCGGTCCCCAGCTAGAAGTCGAAGAGATTTGCATCTAGTTCTTCTTCTCTTAAACCAAATTCTAATTTGCCACTCCTGATGACTTCGATTCTGCTACTTGAGCGAAATAATTCAAGACAAAGTGAACAAAAAATCAATTTAACTTCTCATGACCAATGTAAGCAATTATCGCCATTAGCGATATCTTTAGATATCAGCTGAAAGAAAAATTATTTGTCTGTGAGATTTCTCAATTCTTGTTACACTTTCCATAGATCCATAATTATCATTTTATCAAATCACGAAAAAATAGAGATTGAAGACAAATGGAAAAGATAGAAAAAAAGAGAAATTTTCCTTTTAATTATAAGAAATGGATTTTCGTTCGAGATGCTTTATGTCTGAAATTAATTACACATTGTGTGTGTGCATTGAATAATAAATAACGCGATCAGAGACAAAAATTTCTCAAAGAAGCAAAAGTGATAAGAATTTTGGAGGAAGAAAACAATTTCTATTTTTTTTGCTGCTGTACAACCACTTCATTTCAACCGCTACATCCGTTAGAAAATCTTGGCATGGCATTTTGATATATCACTTTCATGCAACAACACATTTTCATATCTTCATAAAATATATAAAATTACATGCCAAGTTATTTTTTTAAATGTTTCTTTATTTAAAGTGAAACTTGGTCAGATCAGAGAAATTAACCAAAAAAAATTTATATATGAAACAATTAACATTAAATTCATATCTGTGCTTATTATACGTTTTTTTGCAAGTTAACTAAAAAAGAACAATAAATTTTTTTTTGTAAGGTACTGTTGTTTCCTCATCTCGGCTTTTATGTTCAACAGAGAAAGAAGAGAAGAAATTTTGGGCTGCGAATAATGTACAGTAGCATTAAAGTAAGCGAGAAGATGAAAGAAGAGACGTAGTAAATAGCCATTTTTCTTTGTGCCTTTAACAAGTACAAATTGTTAATTATCTTCTCCAGCCCCGAAAAAAGTGAAAATAGCAATAATGACCATGGGCTACAAAGCTGCACAAACTATAGTCTATGGTACTTTAATGATGCTTTACTGTCAACAAGAGGCTTAGTTCAAGTAAGAGTGATAACGTCTTGATCAGTTTGTTCACCAAATTCAACAAGATCCTGCCTTTAAGTTTTTCAATGCCATCCAACGAATTTGGTTTCTCTGATGTACCTTAACTACATATCCTAGTATGGTGATCCTCAAGACAGTGAGAAGTGTGCCCAAAAAGCATAAGACTATGTCTCAAAAATTCAATGCTCGGAATTAATAAGTTTCATGCTCTACAGCAGTTTGAGAACCTCTGACAAACAGGAAGAGACAAAATTATTGAATCATCGATGAATTATTGAATGAACAAGTGGGCAAAAAAAAAGAGTAAAGAGCGACAATGTCTGGGACGTAAGAAAAGCATGAACTACATCATGACTAAGCTGAATGATCATTAATAATCATTCAATGGAGTTGAGTTGAGGTGGATGTAACAAGAAAAAAAAAATAACTTTCCTTTTCGTTTTCTTCTCGTACAATCCAGACGGTAGTCGATTCACGTTCAATCAAAATTGACTTAAAGCCTTCAATGAATAGAAAATTGCTGTTTTTTATCGATGAATATGATGAATGGCAGTTTAACATACTTGGTGGTGATCATCACTTACAATTTACCACATTTTTTCATATTTTTAAATAATTATGACAAGTTTGTTGTAATCACATAATCCTTCGACTACCGTATTACTTATTCCATTCATCCAATTGATGTGTAATTGATGGAAATTATATTTTATTAACTTATTTTAATGTAGCACAATAATTTATTACAGTTACAGTCGTTTACATTTTTTGTTCGTTATTTTACACCTTCATTATGGTAAATCACAACTTAACAGACTTGTAAAGAGTATACAATTTCAATTATTATAAATGATAAATATTTAAATGTTTTTACTTTTGAACCGTATCATTGTCAAAGCTTTGATGTTAAGATTGATCTTTGCAACTTTGAATTGTTAACCTAAAGAAGAAGGATTCATTATAATTATGACATATCATTAATTTTTTGGAATGATTTCGATTCTGATTGTTGTAATTTGAAACTTTAACGTGTAACAATCTTTCATTTCATTTTAAACGACAAATTTCATTCGATGACCTTCACCTTCAGTTTCCTTGTTGATTATTTATGTAAGGGGCCATTCACTTATTACGTAACGCTTTTAGGGGGGAGGGGGGTCTAAGATTTTGTTACGGTTCAAACAAGGAAATTTTTTTTTCATACAAATTTTGATACGAGGGGGGGGGGTCTAAAAAGTCATTTTTTCGCGTTACGTAATAAGTGAACAGCACCTAACTTCAACTCAAAAGATATCAAAGCAATTTCATAATACTTGGAAATTATTTTCATATCCTCATTTGGTATCATAAATAATATCAAACTGGAATATTTGCAAGCTTTCAAGTTCAAGTTATATGCAAATTCAACTCTTTCTTGAAAAAAATCATACAAAAAAGAGTTTTGAACAACATAGTTGCTAATTTATAAAATACAAACACAAGATATGTAAATTTCTTTTAAAGAATAATGACTATAGTAACAGAGCTTACAAACATCTCAAAAAGTTACTAAAAAATAAAAACACGAGCTTTAGAAAACATTGTGAATTTGATCCTAAAATAACAATTATTGGAAGTTTCATATGTACACTTATGTTGATATTATTCGATTATTTTATACCTGATTTCATTTTCCGACAACTTTCTTTATGCAAACAACCCCTGAAAATCTTTGGTGCATAGATACAGTTTAAAATTTTAACAAGTTCTGAGAATTCCAGTAATTTGTAACTTTTAAGATGTTTTTCAATCCTCTTAAAATGTAACATTTAATCATGTTGTAGCTTCAGTTATTCAGTAGTTAAATGTTACTGAAGCTTTTGGAACTGATCAAAATATGCGATTCAATTATTTTCCTGTATTTAAATTAAATTTATTATATTGGTTACTAAAGAAACAGCTTTGCTTCTAACGTTTCTTCTGAGCCGCTTAAACTCTCTAGAATAAAATTGAATAAGTTGTAGAATAATTTCCAAATTGAAAGCAATTTACCTTTTGTTCATAATAAACATTCTAGGTTATATTCTTGCCTTTCTGTATTTATGTATCACATCTCCTCCTCTCAAGTCGACCATCAACTGTTTCTTCTAACGATATCAGTCTGGATGTAAACATTGCAATTTACTTTTACAGCACAGAAAAAAAATTTCTCTAAGTGCATTTAATAAATGATTGCATACCACATGAAATTCTGGTTTACTTTTATTTTCTTTTCTTTTATCTAGCACATTCCGATCGCTATTGCATTTTCTCGGTCTGAATCGGCTTTATATGAAATGCCAATGAAACTACTAGCATACTTAAAAATGGGACATTTATTGGCAATGCTTACATTATAATCATTATTTGCGATTTGACAAGTTTAAAACCATCATTATGATTTGTTGACTAGCTCATTTTCATTTCATACTGTAAGATTAAAATTATAGAAATTAAAAAACTGTGGATTTTTTTTTCAAAACTTAATCATCACTTTTGGATGACACTTTTTTTTTCTTTGCGATTTTTTATTTTTGATAATTTTTCTTTTTCGAGATTTTCATTGATTTTTCTTCCTTTTTTAAATACAAAACAAACTTTTGAGTTTCCTTTTGTGTCTTTCTTGAAAATTAAAAGAAATTATTTGGTGTGAAGAGAATAGATTATAGATTTAGAATCAGTTCTGTCACTTGCTTGTCATGACTTAATAAATTATTAAAAATAAATAAATTAAATAAATAATTTAACAAATTCTTAAATATTGTTGATCCCAGAGATAGATGAACAATAATAATAAAATTAAATTAAAAGTAATCAGTCATTGGTATAAAGTGAGAATATAGACTCAATTAGTCGAGTATATTACGATCGGATGAGAATCATTTGAGGTATTCTATGTGTTGTCATCAATAAATAAGTGTAAATTGTTTCCTATTAGTGCTGGCCTTTGTATGCTAAATTCTGTCCATCTTCTTGTGAACGACCCCAACCTCCTCCTACATGACCACCGGAAACGACAACTGTAAATAAATTATTTTTGTTACGTTTACGATTGACATGCTCATACATACACAAAATTATTTTTTGAAATTAACCTTCATGAGCACTTTCATGATGGTGACTGTGCGAAAGTAATTTCTTGATTCCAATAATTGAAGCCAATGCGAGAGCCAATTTTGAGACAATCAAAGCTTTTCCAGCGAGTAAAGCGAGAGCACCGAAGGCAAGTGGGACGAGAGTACTTCCGAGAAGTAATGGGATCATGATGTAGTGACCATTCTTCTTGCCACCTCCTGAACCACCCTTGTTTCCACCGAGACCTCCCTTTTGACGAGCTTCGTTGATTGATCGCTTCATTTCATCTGCAGATGGGAATTTGACCTGAGAGTTGATGGAATATTTTTTTTTTTTATTAATTTATTATTAATGAAAAAGTAAATCAATCACTGGATGTCAGATGTTACCTTCAATGTATGGTTATCGAAATATGAGAGAAGTCTATCCATAATCATTTGATTAAGTGATTGTTCCTTATCATCAAGTGAGCGTGGCAACGAGGCTTCAACTTCTTGTTCTGATTTTGGTGGTGAGTGCTCCTCATCGACCTTTTCACTAACGAATGTCACGCCATCATAAATTTTCAAGTCACTGTTTGAGCGCGCAATTCTATCGACGACTGTATACAATTTCAACTTGAGGCATGTTGAGAGATCTTGCGAGGCACATTCTTGATATGTCTTAAATAAATATTTGGCATCACCAAAATAAGACCGAGCTTGTTGCTGTTCCTCATCATGATGAGCAATGGCGACTGAGACGATGCACAAGAAAGCAACTGAGTAAATGAACTTCATTTTTTATAACTTAATTTATTTATTTATTTTTATAAAGTATTTCCTTTGAGATGTCACAAATAATGATATTAATCCTAGTTGATTTCTGTACACAATTGCACTGCTATTTATATTTTTAACAAATAATTTTTTTTAATTTAATATTTTTTAAATTGATCTAGAACAGCAGACGAATGAAACTAAACTGAAGTAATTTCGTTACAGTTTCAACATTATATATACGCTATCGTTACCATAATGCAATTTTTCATGCTGCAATAGAGGCATCCTTCATTCTCCCGCTTCTTTTTTCTTTCTTTTTCTCTTCTATCGCAAGGTGGTGCAGCAAATTAGCGCACTATAACATGCGAAAGTTATCTAATGTTAGTAATAGCTTTGTATCATCATCATCTAACATTTCTTTCTTTCGTTTTCACTTGAAAATCGTCTTGAATCTCTTGCCTAGTGCAAGATATGTATAGTTGTATCGTTCTATTCTATTACTTCTCTACACGCAACTTGCCTACCACTATGAAAGTTATTTCTAAGCGAAAATAAATTTCTCATGAAAAGCTTGCGAGCCTTTACAAATATTAGGCGGTTGTATGCAACACGTAACTGCATCCACCCATCCATTTAGTTAACTACGTGCTTACTTATCACTGGTAGTGATAACAAAATATTGAAATTTTAAGTGCTAGATTGATAGAGCTAACTGTTTTGGCTACATGAGGCGCATTTTAGAGACATCTACTAATGACGTCCAATGGAAAGTTATTTATTGGCAGAGCTTCTCTTTGACGACCCTGCTATCTATGCATCTAATGAACATGACGAAAAATCAGATTCTTCAAGCTTCTGAGTGACTTAGACATCATTATCTATTGAATTAACCTTAATAGGAACGATTTCATAGTAGAAAAGCAAGACAATATAGGGCCCTGAGATTTCGTTTTGTTTTCTACAAGGCGTGGAAACTATCCCAAATATCATATTTATCCCACATATCCAAAAAATTTTAAAAAAATTTCTGTGCATGTATGCACGATAATAAAGATATCCCAACGTATCCTCAGTGTAATTTCAGGATATGATGGGATATCTCAATTCTAATGCATACAGGCTCAAGGATTATTTTGAATATTTTTGGGATATATGGGATATTTGGGATAGTTTCCCACCTTGGTTTTCTCCATCCTTGTTATGCCCTTACACATTTTTACTTTGAATGCTTAATCAAAAATTCGGCAATAAAAGTCAAAACTTAATTTTTGTTGCCGAAAAAATGAAGGACCAAGGTTTTCAACCCTCAGAAGGTAAATAAAATCTAGAACTAGCCAAATAATTTAAATTAAAATATTCTCATGCAAACTAAAGTTAAAGACCCCCTAAGCATAAATTGAGATGTATAGACCAACTTCAAATAGCCACCAATCATATCATTTCTTCCATATCAGCACTTCAAGTGAAATAGCAAGAAAAACTTTTCTCTTAAACATTTACGAAAAATTCTTATGAAATTTAAAAAGCAAGTTTTCTCTTTGTTCATGTTGTGAGCGTGAAAACACGATAAAGGTACGATACGATGAGTAGAAAAAATGCATTTCTTTTTCTTTTCTATGCAATTGATAGCAAATAGACCATCACTAATTATTTTAATCAGATAAATGTTTCTTATAACATTAGAAGTAAAAATAAAATAGATGAGATGATGACTAGCACTGTGATGAAAGTATTTTTCTTTCTGAATAGTAATGGCACATAAATGACTCTTAATGTTTTACTTCCTAACATCTATGTTAGAAAGACGCATTTGAGACAGGAAAATGCGATGATTAAAAGAACTTGTGTGACAATCAATTGCTGTTCTCATTCTCATGGGATACATAGATAAATGAATGAATGGTTTATAGCTGTTGTCTTGAATAATCCCGTTTTGCCTAGAATAGGCTCATTAATTTAGCAGGTATTTTTGACATCATTTAGTGATATGGAAATTATGTCTGGAAATCGATAGCTGTATGGGAAGTTTCTGATTGACTGATTAAAAAGGTTCTGATTTTGAGGATTTGAACATTACAACATTGGCATTTTCTTGCTAAGACTTACTTGGAGTTTGAGGTACAAACCAAGTTCCATCTCTCCACTTACCAGATCTACATGAAAATTTCATTATAAAAAATAAATTCTAATTTGCGTCATATAGGAAACATCCAATTAAACTTATTAAAACGGCGAAGAGTCCAATAACAAAATAGAGATAGCAGTTAATATATTCAATTAAGTAATTTTACCATAACATGTGGAACGTCGATGATAAAAAAAATTAATGCTAATATTATGTTAACTATTTGACATATTGCTAACAACAAAAGAAAATTGCGTCATATTACCAACCTGTTACACGATATGCTACATCTCTATTATATAAGCACGTTTTAGAATTGAAACTGGATAAAGCGTTCTATTTTGTCTGCTTAGACTAAACCTTAAAGCAACTAAAGTTACAAACTTTAGTAAGTTCAAAGGATATTAAGAATATAATCTAATCCAAAATTAGAAACGTATTTTTATGATGAAGCTGAATAAAGCCTCGCATACAACATTGAAAAGGTTGAAATCTGACTCTGAAAATGACCCAGTGTCAAGCGTTTGCTTTCTTATGATGTTTTCTGACTAATGAATAGATCATAGACTTATCTCCACAGCCTCGTCTGTAGGCCAGTAAACGTACAAGCTACCTAAGGATAGTATGTTTTAATAAAACATAGCTAATGCGCTAAATGTGTCGTAATATATAGATTCCCTCAAACATCCTCTTCTGAAAACTCAACGTACGTATGAGCTATTAATGGATTTTATTATCATTGCTATCAACTTCTGTTTTTGAAAAGAATGGGCCAAATATGAGCAGCTAAACAATTGGGGTGATAAAAAAATATTTGAAATGTTTACTCTTTTCATTGACTTGTTTGTCTACACTCACCATACAGTATCTTGTTCATTTGGCATAAATGGTTGACAACTTCCTATATATAGATTCGATTTACATTATTTCAATATTTATTTATCGAAGTGAAGCATGTCAGGCTGTTGAAAGAATTTAGGTACATGTTTCTGTCTTGTTTGTATTCTTTTGGATTTCTTTTAGATGTGAAAAAGGATTCGTGGAAATTTTTGCAACAATTTCAACTTCCACGCAAAAAGCGTGTAAGTTATTAGTTTCGGTCAGAACACACTTTTTTTAATACATCCTGAAGGACTCGTTTTCAAAAATCTCAAAGAGTACCAAAATGTGTGTAATAGGAGGATTTTTCTGTATACAAACATTTACAATTGGACATCATCTATGCCTTCAAAACACCAAAAAAAGTCTTTTTTGAATTTTGAAAATTTTTCGCGTTCGAACGAAGCGTTACGTAATTAAAGATGTGATATTTTATTAGATCTTTCAATTTTAAAAATTTTGACATAGCAAATAGTCAAACAAATAGAAGTCAAGCGTGGAAGTTCGTGGCTTTCTACGTAAGTCGTGTTTTTTGAAAATAGCCTACTATGATCAAAACCAAAAATGCTTTAAATTGCATTTTAAAACAAATCTTGGTATTATAAATGATAAAGGATGCTAATATAGATATAAAATCGATATTTTTTTGAAAAAAGCCTACTATGATCAAAACCAAAAATGCTTTAAATTGCATTTTAAAACAAATCTAGTTATTATAAATGATAAAGATGCTAATAAAGATATAAAATCGATATTTTTTTGAAAATAGCCTACTATGATCAAAACCAAAAATGATTTAAATTGCATTTTAAAACAAATCTAGGTATTATAAATGATAAAGGATGCTAATATAGATATAAAATCGATATTTTTTTGAAAATAGCCTACTATGATCAAAACCAAAAATGCTTTAAATTGCATTTTAAAACAAATCTAGTTATTATAAATGATAAAAGATGCTAATAAAGATATAAAATCGATATTTTTTTGAAAATAGCCTACTATGATCAAAACCAAAAATGCTTTAAATTGCATTTTAAAACATATCTAGGTATGATAAATGATAAAGGATGCTAATATAGATATAAAATCGATATTTTTTTGAAAATAGCCTACTATGATCAAAACCAAAAATGCTTTAAATTGCATTTTAAAACATATCTAGGTATGATAAATGATAAAGGATGCTAATATAGATATAAAATCGATATTTTTTTGAAAATAGCCTACTATGATCAAAACCAAAAATGCTTTAAATTGAATTTTAAAAAATCTAGGTATTATAAATGATAAAGGATGCTATTAAAGATATAAAATCGATATTTTTTTGAAAATAGCCTACTATGATCAAAACCAAAAATGCTTTAAATTGCATTTTAAAACAAATCTAGGTATTATAAATGATAGAGGATGCTAATATAGATATAAAATCGATATTTTTTTGAAAATAGCCTACTATGATCAAAACCAAAAATGCTTTAAATTGCATTTTAAAACATATATAGGTATTATAAATGATAAAGGATGCTAATAAAGATATAAAATCGATATTTTTTTGAAAATAGCCTACTATGATCAAAACCAAAAATGCTTTAAATTGCATTTTAAAACAAATCTAGGTATTATAAATGATGAAGGATGCTAATAAAGATATAAAATCGATATTTTTTTGAAAATAGCCTACTATGATCAAAACCAAAAATGCTTTAAATTGAATTTTAAAACAAATCTAGGTATTATAATGATAAAGAATGCTAATATAGTTATAAAATCGATATTTTTTTGAAAATAGCCTACTATGATCGAAACAAAAAATGCTTTAAATTGCATTTTAAAACAAATCTAGGTATTATAAATGATGAAGGATGCTAATAAAGATATAAAATCGATATTTTTTTGAAAATAGCCTACTTTGATCAAAACCAAAAATGCTTTAAATTGAATTTTAAAACAAATCTAGGTATTATAATGATAAAGAATGCTAATATAGTTATAAAATCGATATTTTTTTGAAAATAGCCTACTATGATCAAAACCAAAAATGCTTTAAA